ATAGAAAAAATCAATGATGAGAGGGGCCCAAATTTTTTTAGGGCTTTGAGCGCCAAATTGGGTATTAACCCAATGGCATATTAATGCCACTGGTTTTGATAGTTAATAGGATAATTAGCACCAAATTTTCTCTATAAAGCCAAAAATGTTCAAGGTTTTTAATAAAAAAATTGTGGTCGTTTATGGGTAGGTAAATTTCTTTGTGAACTGCCTTTGTATTTAAATTTATAGCTAAGATAATAGGTATTGTCAATTTTTTCTTTAACTTCAAAGCAAACAACAATAAATTATTTTCAATTTTGTTTTTTCTAAAGAAAATTGTTTTTGTAGACGTTCACGTTGAGAGCTAGAATAACTGTCAATTTTTTCTTAAAGTTGAAAGTTCGATTATCCAACTTTGCGATAAAGCCGTGCCACTTGAAATCGATATTTTCCTCAAGATAAAGCTTAATTTGCCCTCTGTTCCTCAAAAAATAAGGAATTCGCGTTTGTGCATTTATCATCGCGGCATTATTTACTCTGTGGTAGAGAAAAAGTTGTCGGGTCCTAATTTATGCCCCGGTTGGCCGCCACCGATGTCAGTTCCACACTTCTCCAGCAAAATCTTGGGCCTTGGGCTTCGTCCATCTGAATATTAAATTCGGCAAAAACAAGGGTGTTACGATTTTATACGTGATTCAGACGACTATCGATTCCCCCAACTTTGTTTGGTTTCAAACTCCCCATATCTTTTATTGTTATTATCGATAATGCCCCCTCCCTGCGCACGTGCACCCTGTGGCTAGTGTTTCCGCTTCCGCTAATTACCAACCCGATAAGACTACAATTTTTATGGGTCAAATAATGGGCGGTTTTTATTACTCCGCTCCAGGTGAATCGAGCTGATCGAATGCAAACAGTAGAGGTTTTTTGCGAGTGAGGAAATGAAATGTAATTTCGCTAATTTTTTGAAAATATTCATTCCCTAGAGGGATGATTTGTGTGACGAAACAATTTTGCGTTAAGAAACGGTTCTAATTGTAAGCTCGCCGGGTTGTTCCCATGTCAATTTTGGTGAAATTTATTTTGTTACGCCCTTGCACGTGGCTGCTGAGTCCGTTTGCAAAACACGATCTGTTCCATCCAAAACTGTATCGGATGCGCCGACAAAAATTACACCCAATCGATTGCTTTTCAGCAATTTATCATCGGGCTGTAATATGATTATTATCGCAGCTCGAATTTCAGGAAAGGTTAATGATGTTTTTTTGTAGAGAAAAAACAAGGAAAAAACGTCGACTTGTTAATTTTTTCAACAAATACTTGGAGAATATAAAATACATAAATAAACGCAAATTTTACAAAAAGAAAATATGTCTAAGTACATACGATTTATATTCAACGTAGGCTTCATGATGTATTTGAAAACCATGAAAAGCTTACTCAGTTCGCTAGTTTCCCTCACAAAAGGAACAAAAACATGCAACCTGGCATGAACAAAATACAAAGTGGCTCGAGAGAATACTTTTTAAACGTAAATTCGTGGCTACCTACTCTACAATTTTAAATGTATTTTACCTATTCACACTGTTTAGGCTAACGTGATGCGAATAAAATTCTAATTTTAGAAACATAAAATCAAAACATTTTCAACAATAAAACATACACAAAGTAAACAGAAAGTATATAATCGTTTTTTTAATCATTTGCCTTCAGAAAATAATAATTAATAAAAATTAAACTGACATTAAATGTGTGATCGTGTTTTGAGAATGAGATTTTGTTTTGTTTTTGAGTTATGCCACTTTTTTTCGAAATGACAACATACAGTGTACGCCAGAACTCACGCCCCAGAGAAAAATGCCATATGTAAGATGAGATACAGTTAGTTGCAATAAAAACGGAAAATAGAATTTTCTTCAAATTGAAACAGATTTTGCCCCTGTCAATTTAGTTGTCAATTTGACATCTGTCGCATCCAAATAATTTTTTCGGCAATGCCGCACCACGGCCAACTGTATCTATCTCCACTTCGTTCCGGGCACTAAAAACAAATCAAGATAATCAATTAGTTGAGTACTTACGTAAGAACACTGAAAACCCAATGAGTAGTGAGTACTACAGTTCTAATTTAACCTTTTAGAATTAAGCCATGTTAAACTATGAATAAATATAAAAATCTGACATTTTTATGCTTTGACATTTTCCGATTTTTTTGCAACCAAGAGTACCAGGAATATAAAAAAAATGTTTTAAAAATTGTACATAGAAATTTTGAAGTTATAAGTTAAAATTTTGTACTTTGACTGTATTTGTTTCTATTTTTTTACAGGCTATTAGAAGAGGAAACAAGGAAGCTGTATCCCGAATTGTAACTCTGTTTAATGTTATTGTGGCTTTTATTGGTAAAATTTTAGTACTTTTACTAAATAATTATAAAAAAAACATATACAAGATTATCAGTAACATTAAATAGACATAAAAATGTCAAATGTTAAAAAATAAATAACAAATTTTTCCATGTTCCTGGTATCTTATCTTACTAGAAATTTTTCTCTGGGGCGCGGTTCTAACACACCCTGTATAAAAACATGTATTGCTGGCATCATTGTTTCGGAAAATCGACGCTAAAAATTTCAACTAAAACTTTAAAATTTTAATTTCAAACGTCAATCATAATGACAATAAAGCGCAGATTACATTGACATTTTTTGAACTGACATAAATTTGATGTCCAAAATTCCGTGTCCGCCACTGTAGTACTCAGAGCGACATCTTGCCAAAAGAATACGTAATATTGAACATGTGATGTAGAACTCTCTATTTTAATTTTTTTACTTTTTAAAGTTTTTAATAACAAATAAGAGTACTCCATTTTTTATAATCTTTTGTCCTTAAATTTTACAAATATGGAAATATGTACAATTTTTTCAATAATTTTGTTTACGACTCAAGTCAGTAACTATTTTTTTTTTAAATATAAAGTGGTAGGTACACTTTTTATCTGTATGCAACTCTAAGTCATGATCATAATTTTAAATCTCCTGTTACTAAACTTTATCATAAGTTGCAATTGAACATTCTATTCCTACTAAATAATATGAGTTTTTAATTGAAAAAATTACCAATTTTTTACAAAGGTGATACTTGTAATAACTAATAATAATTTATTATTACTAGTTTACTTCCCAAAGAAAACAGTAATATTCCAAGAAAATAATTCTGCCTAAATTTTCTTTAAGCAATCAACATTACACTTCAAAGATAACATAGATATTAAAATAAGTAATTGGTTTTAATAAATAAATTAAACATATAAATTAATTAATTAATTAATTAGTGATCAAAGAGTACTTCAACTTTAATTTATAAAAAATAAAACTTTGATGAATTTACTGAGATTTAGTAAAATGTTTAGCAATGACGAAAAAAGCGATGTGATTCTCATTTGTGGAGAATGTTGAGAATGTTAAAAATGCTTCACATTTATATGCAGCGCAATATCCAAATATATACAGGGTGTAACGAAAAGATGGGGACAAAGAATAGTCTCATGAGATACGCAAGAGACCTCTTTTTTGTGAGAAACTATGGAATTTAGAATTTTGTTGCTGAAAGTATCAAGAAACTAGGTGTAGCCAAATTAGTTATATAGGGTACCTACTTTTTACCTTACACACACAGTGTAGGACGCCCCTGATTAAAAATTTGACATTTGATCTTTGACTTTGTTTAGGGGTATAAAGATTATCAGCTGTACCAAATTTAGTAATTTTTTCTTTTCTAAAATATTGGAAAGGCTCTTTAAAAGACGCACCCTTTTCAGGAGGTGCAGCTGCCTTACACAGTACATATTTTCGATACATGTTCATAGGAAACTTTTGCCAATTGAATATTCTATCTCCTATTTAAATTTGTAAATAAAAACGGAACAGCCTTTATATATATATGGGCTACGAGCGATACAAACGTTTTAAAAATCAGATACGAGAAAAATGGCTTCCAATTAAAAGAAATAGGAAATAGGAGTTGCAGTTGTTGAAATTATTAAATGAAAATGTTAGTAAGAGATTTAAATTTGTAAAAAATGAAAATGTGTACGATTACTATGTTTAGTTAATTAAAATCAAATATTTTAATATCCACGTTATCTTTAAAATGTAGTGTTGGTTGCTTCAAAAAATTCTTTCATCTCATAATTACTCGTGAAACCTTCTGAATAGAAAAGTACATTTTGTAGCAAGTTTAAAATACAGCATATTCCGCACAAGTGGAAAAATTCGTCTCACGAACCGAAGACAAGTGTGACGACTACCCGAGGGAGCAATATGCCAACCTAAAATAGTTCCATACTATACTTTTTCTACGACCAAAATTTAACAACAATTTAAACAAACTTATCCAAAAATTTATGACTGTCAAGATGATGCTAATATATCTGTGACAACTCTAACACTAGTGTATTCTCGCAATTTTAGAGAATATGAGTATTCTATAATTAACGTAATTAAAAATCAACCAAGAAAATAGTTATTCTATAATAGTCGTAGAAAAAGTACTATTTGATGTAACCAATTTGATAATGGAAATCATCACGAAATTTGCTATTTTTAAAATTGCAATTTTTTTAAACAATTTTCGGACTCAAGTTCACAAAAATGAACAGGAAAACTACAGGAATTTACTTGTTTATTAATTCTCCCAACCAACTTCTACCTGGACTCAAACCTTAAAATTTAATTACAACTTAATTTATTCTAAATATTTGTAAACCAATCATCACAATAGGATTAAAAGTTGACTTATAAATCTCTAGTTATGGACACAGCTTACCATAAATTAGAAAATGTGAATTACTGATGCGTTTTTAATTGAAAAAATATGAATTTCTGAAGCAAGAAAATACTTTTATTTTTAAGTATTTTTAACATGAGTAATTAAAAAAACTATTACATTAATTCACTATCTCCTAACTGTAATTATTTGAAATAATAAATAAAAAAGATTTCTATGAAATATTATGAATGCTTTATTTAATCTACAAATACAGACCTTTATTCAAAATTTTAGTAGAAATAACATAGTTATTTTACAATTTTTAACAAAAGGTACAATTTCGCTTTTGCGTTATACTTAATATGTAAATATATAATTAATAACTAAAATAATTATAAATAAGTACGAATACATACGTTAAAGAAAAATATAAATTTTTATACTCTGGTACAGTCGCAACAAAAATTGACAGCCCTTTCCTCCCAGACCCACATCTCTTTCAAATCGTTCGGTAAGCCCGATACTCCCACTTTATGAGTACTTTTACCCCCTTTGGCACAAAACCCCTTTTTTCGTCGCAACAAATTAACCGAAAAAGATCTCGGTTTACACTTATACAACCCAAACCAACAATTTTCACTCAAACACACCACCGATTTCAAATATCTCGGAAAATAATCCGGCCCTAAATCCGTCCATTCAATTTTCGACTTGCAATGCCACTGTTGCAAATAGTCAACACCTCTCTTGCTGCGATGTAATCCGTATTTCTTCTTCGAGACAACTACGAGATTTGTAACATCCCACGCCGGTTTGTTGTCCAGTTGCTCGATGAAATCGTTGTCTACGTAAAAGTCCTCTGCGAAGGAAACTCCACGTTTGCCCCCTGTTTGAGGCTTCTCTTCGATGGGACGGTCGATGCTCATATAACGCGAGTTAAATGCACCTCCGAGAATATTTCCAAGAACTAAGACTGGAAGTTCCTCACATATAGAGTTTTTTTCCCAGCGAGTCAGCGGTGCGTTATCGACGGTGCTCAAAACTGATATTGTCAACACAATTAACATGAAACACATTTTGAGGACCCTTTCGACCACTCAGAAACTTGAAATCTCACTGAAGGATGGACATGGATATTTTGCCCCCTCCCATTTTGAGGAGTGTTTACTAAGGATTTCTTCAGGTATAATGCTGACTTTCCAGGAACAAGAGTAGGGAAAGTTGTTAGAAAGATAACAGTGCAAGTTTTTTACAATTAAATAAATGAAATTGTTTTGTCGAAAAAGTAATGCTAAAAATTCTAGATTAAAAATATATCTATTGATGCAGTTTTGAAAAAAAATATATGTATATTTAATTCTTTGGAGATTGATTAAAAATACACCTCTCTACATTATGTTTTTTCTGAAATGGTAATTCTTTAAATTATATTTTATACTTTAAGGGTGTCCGCGACCAACGATTCGAGACGTTAGTATATTGAAAACAAGATTACTCTCTTAATATGCAACAGAATTTCATGTATTATACATCAAAATAAAGGTTTTTTATCAGGCCGATACGTTGAGATTTTTTTAAAAAAATTTAATACTTTTAAAAAAAGAACAAAAATACATAAATAGTGAACTTGAAAACAACTTTACTCAGTAATTTTTCAAGTAATCAATTTTGGTTTTTGAAGATAATTAAAAAGAATATTCTATAGGCCGATACGTTGGCCTTTTTTTAACAAGTGTTTAGTTTTTGAGATATTGTGATTGATGTAAAAGTCACGATATTTAACGGTAAACCTAAAGATTCGTTTTAAGGTTTTGGTATTTATTACAAAATATTAATTCTTAACAAATTCAACAAACACCGAGGGTCTCTACCTGCCATTGTATGTACCAACCCAAGTAAAGTAATTAGCATAATAATTTTCAGTTATTGTTATTAGAAAAGTAAAAGCAGAAACATTTGACGTGAAATGAGAAAACAAGCTAATTATATTGGAATTGTACTTCTATCGAATCTCCCGTGTTTAGTAGACCTGATCATTTTTTTTCGAAAAAATGTGTGCCTTGTGGGGATCTAAGATTATTTATTATCTATGAGAGTTTTAATAAATAGCAACAATAATCAGACAAAATAATTTATTATACAACAAATTTACACCTATTATTATTAATTAAACAAATTTCGCTACCATAGTAACTAAATTGACTTATCCGTTCTGAGTACCTAATATAACGTAACCATTTTTCATACTATTTTATTAACATACGAAGCAGATGCTTACTATGGTAAAACTTGAAGATAAAAGTTATGAAGAAATGGAAACTCGTAAAATAGAGTTTTTAACAAATATACAAAATGCTGATTGTATAGAAATTGAAGAAAATACTCGTGGTCAATCATCAAACCCACAGTGGTTACAAGAAAGAACATATAGATTGACACTTAGCAATTTCGGTAAAATATGTAAGCTTCGACCATCTACTTCGAGGGCTTGTACTGTTAAAAATTTACTTTATAATAATAATAATAGTAGGCGTAGTTTACCTTTGCAACATGATATTGTTCACGAAGGAACAGGATAAAAATGTAGAATATCATGCAACCAATAAAACACGCATGCATAGTTCACGGACTATTTTGTTCACTTTATGGTGGATTTTGAATAATAAAGACGATTTCTAAAATGTGCAATTTTACCAAGAATTGTAAACGATTTACGGTTCTTGCTTATTTACGGATTAGTTTGAGTTAGATGCCTCAAGAATTATTTCGTCTACTTTTTAAACGATTTCAGTAAAAAAAAGTTTGCATTTTTCTAAAGATATCTCAGCTTCAATACCACCCTCTGGTGTAATTTGGGCGCAATCGGTTATTGTAAGTCGCTGTTTTATTAATAGTGCTTACAAATTACACTAGAGACTGGACGCATTGAAATGAGGTGATTGTATGTATGTATACTAACTATACAGTGACTGTATTAAATTATTAATACAGTCCATCCAATTTGTACTTATGTAGATACAAAACGCGCATAAGTGCTTACAGATTCCTGTACACCATTTTAAACGTTTGCAAAATTCTGCCCTAGAGGTCGCTCACATATTATTATTTTTGGAAGTGTTTCCGCCCTTGTGCAAAAAATTCTGATTACAAAATTATTACAGTATAACAAAAAAAAAGACACAGTTTCGGAAGTTTGAAAATTGTCAACTCTCTCATTAAAAAAACGTATTAAAAATAATAAATATTACATGGCAGTGGGGGAAATCTCTCCAAAATGTAACAAAGTTATTTTTTCAATAAAATCTTGATAAAAGTTGTACACAACTTCAGTTATTTTTATTTCTTCAGTAAATAATGTGTGAACATGATGTTAGTTGTAATATTTTCGATCTTAACACAAGTCGGCAGTAGTGAGGTTATATTGGCCAACAACACATTCAATCCTAGAGGCCCCCTTGTAAAATGTTCTTTCTTGCCTTGGGAATTTATCACTTGTAAGGATCCTGTCGACCACAAAGGTAACCGAACAGCGAAAGAAGAGTTGGGCTATGGGTGTGTAAAATTTGGTGGTATGAAATATGAAGATGTTGAGAGGACTAAAGTGGAATGTACTGTTTTGGAAMGGATAGAATGTTACGGAAATCGAACTTTTCTTAAAGAAGGTGTCGCCTGTGTTAAATATTCAGATCAGTACTTTACAACAACACTGTTATACAGCATTTTGTTGGGATTTCTAGGGATGGATAGATTTTGTTTAGGTCAGACAGGAACAGCAGTTGGTAAATTGTTAACGTTAGGTGGAGTTGGTATTTGGTGGATTGTTGATATTGTATTGCTTGTAACCAATAATTTAGGGCCTGAAGATGGCAGTAATTGGAATCCATATGTTTAAATCAGTAAATAAAACACTTGTTTTACTTTAGTTGGTTTTTATTTAAGCAAATGATGTCCATTGCAATTATGAATATAAAACTTAAAATAAAAATTATGATGCTCCAGCATTTGAGTTAGGTCCGCGACGACGTCCAAAAGTGGCAACAACATTGACAAATCTTCTGTTGTATTGGATACGTCTCTTAGCACGACCTGTCTTCTTTTTCTTTTTTTCTTGTTTCTCAACTTTGGGTGTCTGGCCTTTGACTTTGCCTAAAAATTTCGTAATAAAGAGTATAATAATAAACTTGAACAACATGAAAAAATGTCTGATACTTTCTATAGCAGTTTTAAAATCAAGTTAAAACCACCTCAAACACTTCAGTTTTTTGTTGCAAGCTTCAGGAAGGCTATTATTGTATGACCTTCATAACAGCCTGCTGTTCACTTGCGACTATAAGAAAAAAAAAATCAATTTATACCTGCACGTGCCAAAGAACCGTGGACTTTACCACCCAACAAACCCACAGTCAATTCAATATCTGTGTTTTCAAATTCTGACACCAAACTATCGTCAGCAACAGGAACACCACTAGCATAGAGGCTGATTTCATTGCTTTTTAGGTTTTCCAAGGCGGCAATGCGATCCTAAAGTTCATCAATTGAAGGAATAACATAACCTCAAATTTTGATAATTTTACCTTGATTTCAGCTATGGTTTCATTGCTCTGACACTCAAGCAGATGCGTTGATAATCCACGAAAGCACAACTGCATTTTGCTCGATTCTACAAGAAAAAAATTTTTTTTTTATTGCATCACATGGCGGTTTTCAAAAGACAAAAAAAGTGATGAGACCTCCACAAACACTAATTTATTGCAAAGAAAAAACTAACACATATATATAATGACTCTAATCTTTAATTCTAGATTAAAAAAATCATAAAAATTTAATTCAAAACTGAAAAACATACCTTTCGCCAGCACTAATTTGACAAAAAGGATACAAGATGGCGGACACTCGAAAACGGAAGTGACACAAAAAAACTAAAAACCCTAAGTAAAAAGCGCTCAATTCAAATAAAATAAATTTATTATGGATTTAAAACTTAGACAAGTTACATAAATAACAATACTTTTTATCAAATTAAATTTAAAATCTTTGTTGAAAATTCTGTTGCTGCGACCCATTATTGTACATCATTTGTTGTTGATGAAATTCTTGCTGTTGCGATATTGGAATGGCCTAAAAAATTACTCATTACTTTGATACCTAAATTAGAAAAATCCTACTTGTGGATTGACTTGACCAGGATGAGTATTCCCAGACAACCTAACACGTTTTGAGGGATTCCCGTGATTATCTCCATTTCCAGATTGTTGTTGCTGCTGTGATTGCTGTTGTTGTTGTTGCTGTTGTTGTTGTTGCTGAGACTGCTGTTGTTGTTGTTGCTGCTGTTGGTTTTGACGTTGCTTACTTTCCGCTTTTTCTTCCTGGTCGTCATCAGTCAAAAATTCTCTCTTAGGATATGGAATTGGACAACCTACAAATGTTTAATAGTATTTTTTTTAGAAAGTTTTCAAACTGACCCGCAAAAACATCCTGAGTAGGTAAAGGATCTTCAGAAAAGTAGGCATCTTGCATTGCTTGCTCTGAAGTAATTCGTTTATTTGGGTCCATTAAAAGTAATTTCTGTAGCAAATGGAAGGCCTTACTATCAGGTTTAATCTTATGTCTATCCATGTATTTTACTAAAGAACAGTTGATGTAGCTAGAAAAATATATCTAAAAATTCATTTTACTGAAAATAGATACAACTGTACCTTTGCTTCTTAAAATCTTTAACTAGTGTGGGATGTTCTGGCATTTTTTTGATATCTTCCCAGTCTTTTTCAAGGGGGAATCCCATAACGTTAAAAATTCTATCTAACTGGTCATGGTGGTAAGGATTGCTTGTTTTTATGTCTTCTTGGCGACAATGAAAAATGGGTTCTGAGGTCAATAGCTCAGCAAAAATGCATCCTATAGCCCAAATATCTATGGCTTTCGTGTAATGACGAGCCCCTAGCAATAATTCAGGCGCCCTGTACCAAAAAGTGACCACCACGGGATCCAAATCCGCTAGAGGTTTCAAAGGGGCATTAAAAAGTCTAGCAAAACCCATATCTGCGATTTTAACTCGCCCCCTCTCTGGCCCTTCTCCCATAACAAGAATATTTGCAGGTTTCAAATCCCTATGCAACACCCAATTTGAATGTAAATAATGAATTCCATCCAATATTTGATATAGCAATGATTTAACCATTCCTTTAGGAACCATGACTGGTTTTTTGTTAGCTTTAGCAGCTCTATGAAATTTAATTATGTGCCATAGATCGTGTTCAGCAAAGTCAAATAAAAGCCATACTTTCCTATCATTGTGTGATAAAAAAACTCGAATTAAAGTGATTACGTTTGGATGTTTCAATTCCCTTAAAAGCTGTAACGCAATGTAATGTTATAACACATAAAATAGATTTTTACCGCTATTTCTCTACATGCTGACATGGATAATCCTGTACCCTCTATCTGTTTAAGGGCATAGTCTCTGTTGTCCGACCCATCTTTCCGCCGCCCTTTGTAAACATGACCATATGTGCCTCTACCGACTTTACAACCCTCATAATCGAATAAATCCTCCACTTTTACTCTCTCATTCTGAGTTTTCATCTTAAATTCGTAGTCCATCATGAGAGTTGTCATAATATTCAAGTGACCAAAAGTTACAGCACTTCGAAAGAAGTGCCAAGTCTTTTATAATTACACCGGTTGATCTCTAACGACTTTGTACTTCACCACTACGTGAAAATATCAAGCAAGGAGAAAAATAATGTTTGTAAATAACGACAATTAATTAAAAATTTGCTTTTGACAAATGTCAATGCAAACTGTCACTGTCAAATGTCAAAGCCACAACGCGCATGCGCACAACATTATCGTATTTTTATTAATTTAAAAAAAATACATTTGTGTAATTGTTGTCAATATAATAATCAATTGCAACCACCAGAATATTGTGTCTTGCCAAATTAAAAAAAAAAAGATTTAAATTAATTTATAATTTTGTAAATCAAAAATCAGGTTGTCCAACGTGGAGCTAAGGTGTGGCAAAATTCCCCCAGTTTGATTGAATAAATGGGAAATTCCGGTCGGAAAGTTGAAAATTTATAGGGTCCTTTTCGAATTTCCTTTCGCAAGAGGCTGTCACCTGCCAGTTTTATTTTGTGATTCCCTTTGTTTAGGAATGTGAATTATTGGAATAATTTTTTCCTGCACTATCGGTCTCTGGGTCGCGTATTTCTAGTTATAACCAGTTAAAGTGGTTAAGTTACCTGCATAACCAGTGAAAAGTGACTTCATCAAGTAGTTCGTCGGCATTGGAGACCGCGCCATTTTGCATCGGGTCACATTTTTCGTATTTTTAGTTTATACGAAATTCAGCAGAAATGTCAGGAGAAGAAACTTCAGCCGACCGCAATGTAGAAATATGGAAAATCAAGAAACTTATCAAAAGTTTGGAATTGGCTAGAGGGTAAGTGCAACGTGGTTAGAAATTTTTCAACATATGCCCACGAGTTTCAAGTAAACGGTTTTTTTGTTCTCTCACAGGAATGGAACCAGCATGATTTCGTTAATTATACCGCCCAAAGATCAAATCTCGCGAGTTAGCAAAATGTTAGCTGATGAATTCGGCACAGCCTCCAATATCAAGTCTAGAGTTAACAGATTGTCAGTCTTAGGGGCTATCACGTCGGTCCAGCATCGCCTCAAACTCTACACAAAAGGTAAGGGCGAGCCCCTACATTGCTCACCAACGTATGACACATCATGCCAAAATGCCAACGTCGAGCTATGCTATGTTTTATATTTAAAGTTGATTCAAACGACCCAAAAAGCACTCTGAATACATGTAAAAAACAGTGTTTAGTACATTATTAATAAACTGGTTTTTATGTTTTACTAGGATGCATCATAACCGCTTTAAAACTCTTATTTCCAAGCTTCAACAATTACGGTGCTTGTATTGTCTTACAACAAAAATAAATTGCTCAACAATAAATTATGTGGTAAATCACGCTTTTCTATCCACAAATAAACCCGTTTTTGTTAATACCGATTTGCTTTAATTATTATTAAAATAGAGAAAGTTTTGTTTGATTACTAAATTTTTAAGTTGATAAAATGTTTGTTGCTTCTGAATCTCAATAGTGTTTTATGTATTGCTGATGATAGAGTGTAGTTTTCTCAGAAAAAGCAAGGACAATTATTTAATTTAATAGAAATTGAGGGTTTTGAAGCTTACTGATTTGAATTGCAGTTACATTTTCGGTAATTTTTACCAATAACCTTTTTATTAAGTAAATAAATTGGTTGAGGCCCGATTTCTGGTATAGTTGTATTCACGAGGATAGTCTTGTGCGTCATCAATTTCATTTTTTCATTACCAACACAAAAGTGAAATAAGAAATTCCATCACAATGTAAATTGAAACAATTCAAGGGTCTCTAAGGAATAAGGATGGTAGCCTTGAACGAACATTAATTCACATATGTACTTCAACTAAACGTGCTTTTTACTATAAACCTCAGTTAAATTTGAATTGTTCGACCATTGCGAGGGTTGCGCTGATTTCATTGGTGTTGCCATGGTTTCACCGAAATTTAAATCTAATTGAATTTTTCTCTACGTTATAAATATGTATAATTCCGAAAAACCGGGCCCTAATAATTTTTTTTCAGTGCCGCCGAACGGTTTAGTGATCTACTGTGGGACGATCGTGACAGACGAAGGTAAAGAGAAGAAAGTCAACATCGATTTTGAGCCATTCAAACCTATCAATACTTCTCTGTACTTATGCGACAATAAGTTCCATACAGAAGCTCTAACGGCCTTATTGGCAGACGATAATAAATTCGGTTTCATCGTAATGGACGGTAACGGAGCACTATTCGGCACATTGCAAGGCAATACGCGAGAGGTTCTGCATAAGTTTACGGTAGATCTACCAAAGAAACACGGCAGAGGTGGTCAATCCGCTTTGCGTTTTGCTCGTTTACGAATGGAGAAAAGACACAACTATGTGCGAAAAGTGGCAGAAGTGGCCACACAACTATTTATTACTAACGATAAGCCCAATATCGCTGGACTGATATTGGCGGGAAGTGCTGATTTTAAGACTGAACTTAGTCAATCCGATATGTTTGATCCTGTAAGTCGTTTTCTTTTTTTTTAATCATTTTTCTATACAAACATTTGTAGAGATTGCAAGCGAAAGTTATAAAATTAGTCGATGTATCCTACGGGGGTGAAAACGGGTTCAACCAAGCGATCGAATTGGCAGCCGAATCGCTCCAAAACGTCAAATTCATTCAAGAGAAAAAACTGATTGGGCGATACTTTGATGAAATCAGTCAAGATACCGGGAAATACTGCTTTGGTGTTGAAGATACGCTAAGAGGTCTCGAATTAGGTGCCGTCGAAACGTTGATTTGTTGGGAGAATCTTGATATTCAAAGATACGTTTTGAAGAATCACACAACAGGAACCGAGACTGTATTACACCTAACACCAGAACAGGAAAAGGACAAGTCACATTTTACTGATAAAGACGTTAGTTCGTTTTGCAATTATTTTTAATTTTGACTAATTGTATTTTTCAATAGAGCGGAGTGGAATTGGAATTGGTGGAATGTCAGCCTTTGCTCGAATGGCTTGCTAACAACTATAAGAATTTTGGTGCTACTTTAGAAATTATTACCGATAAGTCGCAAGAAGGGTCGCAGTTTGTTCGAGGTTTTGGAGGAATTGGAGGTCAGTATTGTCTGAATTAGTTGTTGATAGGTAAAAACATTTAAAAAGTGATATTTGTTAATGCTGCTAATCGGATAGGCATTCTTCGTTATAAAGTGGACTTTCAATCCCTACAAGCAGATGAGCCCTTGGATGATGTAGATCTTGATGATTATTAAAGATTTACATGAACCAGAGCTCCTAAATCAGGTATAAGTGTTCTATGGTAGGAGTTTCTTGTTGTGTAATAATCCTGCATTTATTTTTTATTTAAGAAATTTGTGTAGATGTTTTTTATTAGTTGATAGCCTTTTTGTGTATGTTGATGGTCAAGGGTGTTACTTAAATCATGTTTTTTTTTTCAGGTTTGTTAAGATACAAAGTGGATTTCCAGAATTTACAGTTAGATGAAGAGCTAGACAACGGGGATGATTTTGATCTAGATGATTATTAATTCCTTGTAAGGACAATTAAACCAGCATTTTGTAGGAGTGGTGCCGTTAATATAACGTGAAGTGGCCGTATTTTGCTCATATTAAACAATGTGTTGTTAAAAATTGATATAAATAATTTTTGCATATACATACGTTTTTAGTTGATTGTTAATTTATGTAAATTTTTGATCATAGGTAATTTTCTACAAGTTTTGTTTCGTTATCCAGGTTACGCTAATTTCCAGTTTTACGCAGTAAATGGATTTGAGAATTGATACCTCTAATATTTATTTTAAATTCAAGGTCTAATTTAGATGGGAATCAAATTTCCCCTGGGGATATACATACCTATATTCTTGTACGTTTGCATGATCTGTGTAATGAGTTTTTACAAAGATATTTTTTATTCTATCAGACTAAATGGAATTGTTTAAAATACTAAATATAAGTTTTTTCTTTTTACATAATTGGATTTGTTCCTTTTGACAGTTCCTCAACCTCCACGTTGTAGCTTAATAGATTTACATTCCCGTGAAATATCAAAGGCAACTACTTCTACGAAAGCTTGATTTTTTCATTTTAAATTATTTTTTTGTAAAATTGTGTACGCTTGTAGCGTGTAAACTTTACCATTCATCCTTTCAAACCGCATAAATTTACATACAAATTGTTTAATTACGAATCTTTTACGTAATAGCCACTTATTGTATTTTTTTAATTAAATTAAGGATCTTGTGCAAAGGTTACTGACCGCAAAAGACCCTTAATTCGGTGACCGACCTGTCGTCACCACGTAATGTACTTTTTTGTTTGTACTATTTATAGTCTAAAACTACCACACAATAGAAATTGCAATTTGAAACGCAATTATTGCTGTTTCTATAACGTGGTTTTATAAACTTTATTTAAATTAAATAAAACAATTACAAATCAATTAATGTACTGAGGCTTCTTTTAACGACATATCGGTGCTGGGTATTTCTGGTAAGTCGTTGATGTCCAACTTGGATAATTGCTCCTCCAAGTCGGCACTTGTACTGCTTTTCGATTCCTCTTCACTTTTCATCAATTCAGCTAACTCCTCCTCCAAGTCATCGTTTTCATTCGAGACAGGTCGGGAAATAGCCGCTTGAATCTCCTCTTGTATATCCAACATCTGGGGAAAAAAATTAAACAAATCCCTGCCAAAAAATAACATTACCTCTCCTAATTTAAGCATGGTATCTTCGACAGCATCTTCATTCAAACCGGTTTCTTTCAGAGTTGTATTAAAGGCAGAAAGGGCATGTTTGTAGGACTGCCACACGTTTGAATCAGTATGGACGTCTTTGAGTTTCTCAATCAAGACTTGTATATTATGTAAAGCATTTGCTTTATGTGTGAGACGTTTTTCAATCTCGTGTTTTTTCTTAAGGCAAGTTTTAGCTAACTGTCGGTGACCTTTCAATAAATGAGCTTTAACTTCTTTAATACAAGCTGAAATTTCATCCTCCAAGTCCTCAACGTGTTTAGTGAACAATTTTTCGTTTTGTTCCAAAACATAAAGTGCAATATCAAATTCAGAAATCGGGTATAGTTTATTTGGATCTCCTAATTTGATCAAAAAGGAGTCTAAATCAGAACTATTTGTTGTTTTCAAGTTTGAAACGTCCGCCTTTTTCTCACGCACTAAATAGTGTATTAAAAGTTTCACATCTTCAACTTGGCTCATGTCCTTATTGGCGAGTTTTAAAAACTCGGCGAAGTTAATAACTTTATTTCTGTACTTTCCAGAGGTGGAAACAATTTTCTGTGCCTCTTGGCGAATAACTTCAACGTGAACGTAAGTCCGATTTGAATTGACTTGAGTTGTGAATAAAGTACGCTTAACTGTATTAAATGACCACGATAATGGTTTTTTGACTAGCAAATCGGCAGCCCAGCTACCCCAACCGTATGACTCCTTCACAAAATCTTCCAAGTATTGTAAATCGCCAGTTTTGACCAACTCCTCAAGAACGACCCCCAGGCAACTTGGGGGGCGGCCATTTCGCAAAAATTTTTGGCCTAAGAGAGTTAGAGTAAAACTGTAAACCCCATTATTTATGCAATATAGCGAAATTAGGTGTCTCCATGATGCAATTTTTGTGTCCCAGTCGCGAGGATTAACTGTGCGACTGCGGACGGGTGAAAACAAAGAATCGAGCCGAGCTTCATCTTTGAACTCTTGAGGCAACTTGTCTTCGGGGATATTTAACATGGGGCCACTTCACATGTCACTATAATAACCTAAAAATTTGTTTACGTACATAGAACACACTCGTAATACGTAATAATGTATGTGTCACACAATAGAGGGCGTAATGCCTGATGTGTTTTTCAAGCAATAAATCGCGCATTTATTTTCAGAATATTTAAACAATGGCTAATGTATGTTAAACAAGTTGGAATAACTATTTATAGCTTACTAAAATGTCACATAAATAAATTTTTAATTTTTTGGGGACGTCGTTAACGTAGATTTCTGTCGTAAAACGTCATTGCTCATATTGTCATATTTTGCAAACGTCAAATTGTATGTCATGACTTGGCGTGTGGGTTTTCGCACTTTATTTCGCGTTTTTATCCATGTAAGAAATAATTAGTACCGTGCCTTCTTTTTCTAAATGACACGTAATGATCTAGTTGTGAAACAACAGCAAAACACTTATTTCACCGTGGAGTGTAGTGTCATATTATTTTTCCTCAAAATCGGCCAAAACGACACAAAAATGATGGAAGGTAATAGGTCGTAACATAAGTTTAAAAAAATTACATAACAGGGCAGTCCATCATAACACGTTTATTAAAAATGTACACACATTTCTAATTTTAATGCATACAAAGTTTTATGCTGATATATTCAGAGGTCAAGGGCATTAGCCCCCTTCTGGATCATTGAAAGCATGTACTTTTTGTCACTGACACGATACATGTGCACACTGCACAGTAAACATTTATAAACTAAAGAAATGAAGTGAGTTCTTCAATTGTCATTTCGGTTTCAGAGGTCGTACATTACAATGGCCCCCTACAGCTGTAAGCTTTACTTAAGTGATATTATCGCTACAATGGCTGAAGATAATAGAAAAATCTCAATGGATGTTAATGGGGTGTCCGAAAATGGCTTCACAGACGCTCCATGTAAGTATTTATTTCACAATTTTTTTTATAAGTTTGTATTGTGCAAAGTTTTTCATTTTTTACTTCAACTATGAATAATTCACTAAATGTATTTCATTGTATTGCTAATAATGGTAGATTTGAATTGAATCGCTAATTTACAATTTTTATCATTTATCAGTTTACCTACAAGGTGCTCTAGTTCTTATCATTTCTTTAATTCGAAAAAAATGTAAATGTGGCCTTCGTTGCTAATACCTAATGAAGCAAAAAGAGAGTTTAATTTAGCCGAATTAACTCAATATTTGTACCATGTTTCATTGTTAATTGTTAAGATAAATACATACATACATGGCGTAATAAGAAAAAAAATTAAACTAAACCAGCTACAAAATTTCATCAGTAATTGAGCCACTGTAAAAATTTAAAACCCCATTTACAATTTCAATTTTTTGTTAAATTATGGATACAGGATGTCAGCTAAGTAAATAAATAAAAAAAAATTGAATTTGAAATTGTCGCTGTAAAATATTAATATGTAAGTTATTTCCCAATGGGACTTTAGGGGGGTCTAACATATCGGAATTTACCCAATTGTGATGTCTCTATTAGTGGAAAAAAGGCTTAATTATTGTCATTAACCAATTACGTAATTTTTACAACAAACCTTGATAAGAAACACAAAAGTTTTTTCGGTCTTTATCGTATTTAATTGTTTTTAGCCATTAGTGGTTTTAAATTTACAATATCTGCATTGCTAACACACGTGTTTAACACATAGTTTTTTTATGTAAGAAAAAGATAATGCGAGTTGTTTATATTAAATACAACATATAATTTGAAATATTATCAGTATCCTTCAATAAAAATGGTGCCTACACATCGTAACATGTGAATTTGCCAAGTGTGAATGCACAAATAACTTTTATCAAGATAATCTGTACCGACAGAAATCATTTTAATGAAAGAAAAAGCGATAACATGGACAATATTATCATTTCGATGCGTAAATTCGCGATAAAAACTGGTATTTCATACCTGAAAGGGGACCTTACGATGGCGGCTTCAGTTATGCACCCGTTAGGTCCGTTAATTAATTTTCTTGTTGTCATAAAACAATTAATTTTTCAGCAATGCCTTGGTTCGGGATGGACATAGGTGGCAGTTTATGCAAATTGGTTTATTTCGAACCGAAAGACATTACCAAAGACGAAGCCGATTCTGAAGTCGAAACCCTACGCAACATTCGAAGATATCTGACCAAAAATTCAGCATATGGAAAAACCGGCCATCGAGACACCCACTTACAGGTGTGTAATTTTTGATTAATTAAAAAATCGTGCAAGTCATTTGTATTTTGGACCATCACGTGTCGCTTGCCCTATCAAAATCCGTAAAGATAAGATAATGTGTTGTTATGGTAACGTTTTGTTTTTAAGATGGACGATGTTTACATTCGGGGTAGAAGAGGTACTTTGCACTTTATCCGTTTCCCATCGAGTGAAATGGTGAATTTTTTGGCTTTGGCCAAATCTAAAGGCATGGCTAACTTAGTTACGACGGTTTGTGCGACTGGAGGAGGCGCTTTTAAGTTCGAGGAGGATTTCAGAAGGGTACAATTTTGCTCAAGTCCATATTTAATTTCATTTCGCTAAATTATAGGAAGTTAACATGAAATTGGAAAAGTTTGACGAGTTTGATTCCCTTTTGAAGGGTTTGCAATTTGCAGACGCACAGAACCCTGCCGAATGTTATTATTGGGCGAATCCCACCGACGATGCTTGCTGTTCTAAAGTCAAATACGACTTCTCTAATCCATATCCATTTCTTATTGTCAATATCGGGTCAGGTGTCAGCGTGTTGGCCGTCTACTCGGCCACTGATTATAAGAGGATCTCAGGAACAAGGTTTGTGCGTTAAGTCTGCGGTCCACGTTTTGAAAATGTTCGTTATAGTTTGGGCGGGGGTACTTTTTTGGGCCTTTGTTGTTTATTAACGGGCTGTAATACGTTCGAAGAGGCGATACAGTTGGCAGCTGAAGGTGATAACACACGAGTTGATAAGCTGGTGCGCGATATTTACGGCGGTGACTATGAACGGTTCGGTTTACCAGGAGATTTAGTTGCTAGCAGGTAATAAAAAAAAGCTGTATTTTTCTCGCATGGCTGTGTCTTTTTTTTTGCTTCTTATACTGTAAACTTTCTTCTCTTTATTTTTCGTCATTGTGAAGTTTCTCGGGCTTTAGTTTTGGACAAATGAACTCTCGCGAGAAGCGCAGCAAAGTTAGTCGCCAGGATCTAGCCAGGGCGACTCTAGTGACCATCACTAACAACATCGGGTCCATTGCTAGGATGTGTGCTATTCAGGAGAAAATCGACAGGGTAAGTTTACGTTATCTAAGACGAGGCGATATTAAAAAAATTAGGTCGTTTTTATGGGAAATTTCCTTCGAGTTAACCCCATCGCCATGAAACTGCTTGCATATGCTATGAACTACTGGTCCAAGGGTACAATGAAAGCCTTATTTCTGGAACATGAAGGCTACTTTGGTGCTATTGGTTGTCTACTCCAATTTCACGAGGCCAAAAGATGAATTACAAACATTCCAAGTGAAAGGTGTTGGAGTTTAGTACAAAATAAAACAATGTTGGACATTTTTAGCAAATGAAGTTAATTCTTGGCGTTTTATTGTAGATTTTGTACACTGCTTTTATATATATTTAAAAAATAGTACGTTCAAAGGTGTAGATTTTTAATGTATGGTTTTTCTACATTTTTTAAATAAATTTGATAAGTGAGAACTTGGTGTAGGCTCGGTACGTGAATGACGCACATGTTTTATTTCGATTCGTTAAAAGTGGTAAAATATACAGCACATGAAACAATGAACTAATATTAAATTATTTATTGATGGAAATCTAAACAGAGTATGTGAAATATATTATTTTATTTACGTCAGACTTTTATTTCTTGAATAAATCACCATAACGCCTGATTTTACCCTCATAAATTGAAAAGTTTAACACGTTCAAGTGTACATCGGTGACGGTGAATAGAAATTCAGCGTCGAATGATAAACTATATATTGGGGAGCTTCTCCCACGCCGGCGACAGGATTCCATAAAATACATCTTCAAATCAATAAAAAAAAATACACTCAATGAGATATTCACCTGGACAAAATTATTTTGTCTTGTATCCCACAAAACTGCCCTCCCATGACTATAGGTCCCACTTACTATAGTATTGAAATAATCATACTCAAAACAGTAGACTGTAGCCCCACAAGGATCCTCCATCGCTTGTTCACAATTGCCCGTCCTCAAGTCCCACCTTCTGATACAGCTGTCATAGCCGGCAGACCATAAAACTGTCGGACTTTCCCACTTCATGTCCAAAACACCGGCCCCCATTTGCTCAGGAGTAAATTTCAACACGTCCATGTGTCTAGAAGAATTTTAACAAGAATTGAAAGAAATTAAACCAAAATCGGGACATGACTACTTATTCAAATCAAAAACAGTTAATGTAGGTCTATGGTGGACACCTGCTGTTCCGATAGCGAGTAGTGATGTGTCCTCTTCACAAAGAGCGACAGACCATACTTGGTCATACAAAGTAATTTGCTCAATAATGGTTTCATTGTAGGGCTTTCGCCAAATTCTTACAATATTGTCTCGAGAACCAGAAACAAGAACATCATCAAGCAAGTCAACACAATTGACATCAGCCCCTTGAGATAGTTCCAATTCAATTACAAATTTTTGGGTGTTTAAGTCCCACAAAAAAAGACTTCCGTTCCTGGAATTAATTATTAAAAAAATCATTATTAATAATAATTACTTACGTCTGTCCACTCAGAATGAAATTGTTTTTTTTAACAAAGCAGAAAACGTCTGCATTGTTTCTAGTTTTGATGGTATAAATGGGATTTTTTGTGTCTATGCCATCCCTAGTACGTTTATACCCACGTATATGTCCTTCTCTACTAATCCACAATAAATCCTTCTCCAAATGGAGACACTGAAAAAATCTAACTTTACTATAAAGTAACAATTTCTCATCATAACGCCCGGAACTCCAATTTCTCGATATTCTGATACGTTCAAATGGAGACAATATGCGAAAAGATCTACAAGATTACAATTAGTTAATCTCCAATAGTGTAAAATTAAATACCGATTGCTGATGACTGGATGCACTTGATTTGCAACCAGAAGCCCCACATTTGCGATAAGTACACCACCCCAAGTATCAATAATCTCATTAAATCGCTTGCATGTTTGTTTAAGCTTGTATAAATCACGAAGGTCTAAATATTTGAAAATTTTCAGTAAAAGTTCGGTGGAAAGAGTGTCCAAAGATAACACCATGTTGACGATTTTTCAGATAACACTAACTTAGGAAAATACTTTTCTTTAATGTTAGCACTTCCCATATTCATTTAATACACGGAAAAACTCATTCTTAGCAAATTGTACGCAAAATATAAACACAACATAACCTTAAATTTTCGGAAAATTTGGTTGGGTGATCTTTGGCATTTCTACCAACGTAAATTTTCCAAACCTTACATTTGCAACACTGTTTTTTTAAATTTTGATGGGAGTTTCGTACAGAAATAAACCAAGATATTTTTAATACTAAAATCAGCATAATTAAAACACAACAAATATGAAACTTAACTTGAGCAATAATTAAAAAAATATTCATATCAAAAAAGGCTTTCGTTTTCAATATTTTTTTATTTCAAGAAACTATGCAAGTCATATGCAACAATAGTTAATTATAATTAGGCAATAAAAAATATATAATAATAATAATCACTAACATATGATTTTACGCAATTTGAACATTAAATTAAATTAAGGCTGTGGTAAGAATAGAATTCATTTTATCTAAGACAAACGATTGATAACAGAAAACTGTTTGTTTAACTTTGATCAAAGAAGTATTATGACGTCTTTAAAAGTAATGAAATTACTTTAATTATTTATTAAAAGAATTTGTTTAAAATTATAATTAGAAAGTTATTTAATTTACCTCTTTTTTTTTAAATCACCTAAGACCTTTATTTTTGCCCACTAGGTACTGACTGTCTAGATTTTTATGCCTAGAAAATTAAAGTAAAAGAAATATTATATTACATGCGCAATGGCAAGTGTGTTATTGCTGGGAGCTCTCAGTATATTGATAGAGTCGAACGGTAATGACCAGAGAAAGGCAAACTATATCATGAGCCTACTGCGCAATTGCTGCGATCAGCTGTAGCCATAGGCATCGATTGTGGCCGTCGCAAGGCGTCGCGTTTTCGGGTCTAGGTTAGCTTATTATTTGCAAATTCATACTCACTCATTAATGAAAAATAAACCAAATGATTTCACATGTATTTGTGTAAAAAAATAAATATGCAACATCGTAGTAACTATAATAACACTAGCCAACAAGCATTTTGTGACTGAGAAAAAAACAGTTATTTTTAGTTCAATTCTATATGCTAAACTCAAAAATTCCATAGCATGTCAGATTTTAATGTTAGGCATATTAAGATATCATATGTAAGTATGTTCGACAAAATATACAATTAAAATTCATTTTCTCCATTCTCATTTAAATTTTTTTCCCTCAAATTTGGGTGCCGTTAGTGACGAGCAAGGGGAAAGGTTCCACCAGGATATATTGACGATGGAAAGAGGTACCAAGGGAGATCCAGCTATGATGGGGGATTACTTCTGGTTCCTGATAAGGGAAGTTAAAACACACTACAAAAGAAAGTCAACTCTTGCAAAAGACTCATCTACAACAGATTTATGTTAGAATCTTATACATTTTTCAACATTGTTCTTGTTTAGTGAATAAATTAACTTCTTTCGTCGTCTATTTAATTAATTTTTATTTGAAATGGACAATTTTTACGATAAAATTTGAGAAAACTATTTTCCTGTAACTTAAAATCTGTATGATACCCTGATACACGTGTCACATTAAAAAAAAATTGTTGGGTAGTGTAATCATTTATATCAAAATCTAGCACCCCTCTGCCTTTAGCCGAACGCACTGGTTGCCTACTTCTGCGAGATAAATTTGGGGCTGTCAACTAATGACATTAGTACATTACCATGCTATTAATACCAACAAATTGAGTTTTTATTTACATTTGATGGGCTCATAACTTTGTTATCTTGGTAATACCTACTTCACAAATTATTAAGTACTTTCCATTCCCGACCATGAGATGTAATGATAATAAAAATCTCGACCTCCAAAAATAAATTATTTTTATCCACAATCATTCGATAGAGACTTTTTTCCACACTGTAGATGCGTATAAAGTACCACTTTATCCACTAGTGGAATAAAGTAACTTTATTCCACTGTTAGTAACCAGCGCACCGCGTAACAACTTACTACGTTTAACCGAAAGCACATTTGGCGTGACGTTTAAATGTTAATTTAATTTTTAATTAAGTTTGGAATACTGTGGGCCTGTGATTGTGGATAAAACGTTATATTGCAGTCGTGTGTTAGTCGCGTTTTATCCACTTAAAAAAATTAACCGCTCAAACTGACGTTCTCGCGGTTAAACATTCTTCGTGGATAAAACGCTACCTAACACACTCTTACAATAAATAACTATTTTCTTATATTTTCATTATTTTTATCATATTCTTACAATCGCCTCACATTTCTCACAATATTTGAATGTGTGTAATGTTATTTCTAAAGTCTATAAAGTAAGGATCGAACTTATTAAATAATAATAGGTGTCGGTTGTGGCTTGGCTAATTTATGAGTGAAATTTTATAATCAATCTATCGAACTTTACAAAAGATTAGCCAGACGCTATGACGACGGTGAATTATTTGCTGACTGTTAATTTCTGAAAAGATGAATATCTCATGTCATTCAAATTTCTGTCACATTTCTCGACGCGATTTAATTAAACCGATTAAATTACCAGTTGTCGATATGATAAAATATGTCATGTAACTTTAAAAAATGCGTGTTTGTGCCCCGTTCGAGTTTTACGAGTGCCCTGTTTAAAGTCTTAGTTACCCTAAAATTGCTCCATGGAAGTCGTACCGGAGCAAAAGGGTCGACTTTGGAGGACATCGCCATGTACATGATCAAGCACTTTTGCTTAGATGGAGACATCAAAAGTCAAGTGTTGGCGTCTTTAAAATACGGGGTCAAAATGCATTTTATTCAGAAAAAAAAGGAGAGATTCAGTCTAGTTCTGCCAGCGTCGTCCATCCATCTGGCTCCTTGCCGATTCAAAAACTCGGAAATGGAACGAATTCAGTGTATTTTCCCGCCAAAGTGGCAAAGTAACGCTTGTATGGACATGTGTGCCCGAGGGGCGAGCTGCTGTGGCAGGAAGAAGAGGCTACTCTCCCGACCTTGTTGCCAAGACAGCGAGGATGAGCAAGCCGAGGGTGGGACTTGCTTCACCTGTCCCATGAAGCGACCCAGGTCGGATTGCGGGCAAAAGACCTGTTCCCAACCACCGGCTTCCTCACAAGGCAGCTGTGCAACGTGCTACATACCTCCAAAGAAGAACAAATCGCAGGCACCGTGCCCCAAAGTCCTGCCTCCGGCTTGTCGGAGACGTTGCCGACCTACCAGATCCAAATCCCTGTATGATGATTATTGTCAAATGTGTGGTGACGACGACGATGACGATCCGTGTAATACATGTAAACCTACTTACAGTTACAAGGCTTACAAAAATTGTTCGTGTTGTCAAAAATAAACCAATCCAGAGTACTGTTTTTCATAACACCAGTTTTTGTTTTTTTTCCTTCTCTTTGTATCAAAATTGACAAAATAATGTCAAAATTATTCAGTTTGTAACATTATGGCACCTTATCCCTCTTATAAGAAGCATGTGAAATTCGCCAAGTCGAGATCACCAGTGGCGCGTAAAAAAGTCCCAAATACGGCCGATAGTTACGCAAATATTGTTCTCTACTACTTGTCCAAATTGAAAGGTTTGTTTCACTCTCCTGTAAATCCTGTGAAAACAGGTTCGAGTTACTACGTACGAGACACATATGATTCGTCCAAACCCATTTTAAAGAAAGATCCCAGGAGAATGGGCTACTCGGACAGTGATCTTGACGCAAAGGAAAAGGCCTGTGAAATTGTAAACGCTGCTATTCAGTATGGATGTGCCAATAACATTATAGAAAAAGTCGGGAATTATTTCCTTCTAAAGACTAAAACTGAACCGAAGCAAAAAATGTCAACAAGGAGACCCACTCCAGGACCGGATTATGTCAGATGTGCCAGTTGTAAAAATTTGACCAAGTTTTCGCGAAAATACAGTGTTACTAACGTTAGGGCCAAACACAAATTGTCAAATCGATTGAAGAAACATAGAACGTATTATGATAGTGATTATGGACACACTAGCCCGGTTAGGAGAAAGAGAAGCAGCTCAAACACGTCCACTATTAATTATTGTTCCAAGTGTTATGCACGTATGAGGTCCAATAGGAGGTAGCCTTAATGTTGTTTTGTGGAATTAAATGATTGTCCAAGAATAAAAAAGTTTTATTTTGAATTCAAACGTATCTATAATTTTTTTGTTCATTTACCTACTGCTAGTCTTCAGCAGATCGCAGTCTTTTGATGATTTTGTTCAAGTTTGTTGTTTTTTTTATTAAAAAAAAACAGTTTTTCAATAGATTTTTTTCACATTATTACAAAATTATATACTATTTTTTAAAAACGTTGATTAATTTTTTATCTTGTTATCATTCTTGGCACTTACATATTTTATTTCTTTTAATCGACAGACAATTTCAGAATTATAAGTTTCAAATGTATTATTTTATTTTGGTAAAATGTGGCTTCTTATTTTTAAAGAATTTTCACTTAATTAATATTCAGGATTTGGCTAAAATCTCGCCTGTTTACAAGATTTTTTAAAACAAATTTTTAAAATCATAAAATTTTGGTTTATTTTCCTTCGATTTATGTCATTTTTTAACACGCGGACCATCCATTAGGAGTGCATGATGGACAAACAACAAGTTTTTATTTTAAAATTCAAGTATATATTTATCAATTTTGATATCCATTTTGAAGTATTCAATAGATAATCAGGATTTATTTTAAAATATTTTGTTGAAACTTTTACTAAGAGAATTGATTTTGAAAAAGATTCTTCAATATTATTAATTCTAAATATGCAACTTTGGTTTTTGTCGTTTAGTTGAACCTACACAGATTTAGCTAATTTTTAGCAAAAATACTGTTCGTTTTAATAATTTTTACAGAAAAATTTGCATATTACATAATTTGTCATGTTTTCTTAGATTTAGCCGTTTTTTAAAAGAAAGCATTTTGCAGAAAACTTAAAAATTACGTTTAGACATTTTCGAAATCTTAAACACATGTATTTTTAATGTACATACATAGATATTTGGTTAAAATATCTCAAAAAATCGCTAAAGACAGGATTTAAATTTGGTATTTTATGTCTTTTAAAGCGTATTTTTTTTACAAAAATCTTGACCCATCTATTAGCGAACTTTTTGTGGATTCGATAAAAAAAAATCAGATTGTTTAAGCACATTTTCAAAAAAATTCGCTTCTTTTAATCAGTACAGAAGATTGGAGTTAAAAGATTGTGCAAGAATAAACAAGTTTTTATTTCATAATTCAAACATATCTATCAATATAACTTAAAAATTTCTTTTTGTCCTTTTCGAAATCTTCGACAGGTTGTTGGTCATAATCCTCGCTCAGTAAATGGACATAAACTGAGCCTTTATCAGTGGCAATGATCTAGAAATAACGTCAATATTCATGTAAATTGAGACATTCAATTTACTTACCATATAAGTTTGTTCAGGAACACTTTCATCACTTGTAATTACCGATAGTTTCATACGCAGTATATTTTCCTTAAATGGAATCGAATAAATGGGGAACATATCACTCGCCTTCAAATTCCAAACATGAATAGTGTTTGTAATATCTTTCGTATAAAAAATAAACGGCCGGTTGTATGACCATTGGATAATTTCGACTTTAGTCTGATTTTCCGCTGTTTCTTTATTGAAAAGTTCCATCAAAGGGCGCTCGATTACAGCTGAGTAGAAATTTATATTTCCGTTATTAAATCCCGCGACGAAATATTGGGATGAAAAAGGACACATTTCCACACAATTCGCCTGAGAGTCTCCATTTGAAAGAAATTTTTTAACGCCAGTTTTACCCCCACTTGTCAAACAGTGAATAATGTGACCCCGATTGGTCGAAATGTACAAATTATTTGAGTCAAAGTGACTCAAAGCAAGATCGGTACAGTTAAAATCGCCAATTTCGGGATACAACTTTTTTAGTGATATCCGAACGTTGATGGTAATTATCACAGAACCCCAATGGGCCAAACCTTGGTTTTCTACAATTCTGCCACGACTCTCTTCTTTCGAAATAACACTCCAGACTATAACTTCTCCGTCTTCATCCAAACTACAAACCTACAAAAGAATTAAAACTGAATTACCATTTTCTGATTTCTGTTACTTCAGTTGATCCGTGGGCAACAAACACTCCAATTTCTGACACTTTCCTAGACATAGATTGAACCGAAATTATTTTACATGAGTGTCCATGGTTTATTTCAGTAGAGTACGTTGGGCTACGTACTAGTGAATTTTTTACAATTTCCTCACACACATTTTTGTGACTTTTGGTGCTTTCTTTCATATCCCATACGACTAAAGTCCTTTAAAAAGGAATTAACGAAAATAAAGTCTTTATAAGTTACCATACCCGTCATTCAAACCCCCCAGAACCAAATTCGGACATTCAAAACAACAAGTACAACACAAAACGTGGCCAAAAGCCATCAACATTGTTTCGGGCTTACTAATATTAGAAATATTCCATAAACAAACAAAACTATTTGAAGAGTCTTGACGTGGGCCATGAACAGTCAAAATTTTCTTTGAATTGTTTGCACAAAAACAAACATCATTCAGAGGTCGTTCTTTTAAAAAGTCAAGCTTTTTTGTATCACATGTAATCTGACCTTTGCTGAATGGTATATTATTTTTGTTGGTTTCGATGTTCGTTTTCATGTTAGCTTCCATTTGTAAATTAAGGATGAGATTCCCCGCCCTTAATAAAAATGTCTCTAAGCTGTTTTCATTGTGAGAATTTTCAATTCTTTGTGTGTTTATAATGTCCCCGCCAACGCCCAAATAATCACACTTGTAGAGCTCCCAAAAGTGTTCTTTGTCTTCAATTTTAGTGAAGCAAGGAGGAAATTGTGTCCACTTATTTTTATAGGAGATTTCATCAGTTTGTATTTCTTCATCAGTCTGGTCTCCTGTTTGCACTGATGCTTGTACTGAGTTGCTTTTGCCGTAATATTTGATGAAAATATCATAAGGTACAGGGGGTAATTCAAATAGTGTGAAACTATAATGATCGAGTCGAATCATACTCAAAATTTCTTCTCCCCGTTTACGTCTCAATTCCACACTTTTGCGATGTTGGTACTTCCGTTGAGCCCCCAAAAAATTAATAAATTGTAACGACTTGCCATCCTCAAAACCTTCATCAGATAAAGACCCCAAATTACTCCCCAAATTTGAATTTTCCTTCTCGATTGATTCTTTGATGTTGTCCAAAATTTGGCGATGTCTTGACTCGGGCAACTCGTAATTACCTGAATCTAGCTTTTTTTCGTCGTCGGTACCGGCGGAACTGACCCTTTTTGTGGCCGATGTAGGCCCAACAGATTCAGTACTTTCTGAAGTACTACTAGTTGAAAGATTCGACGTTGAATCAGTTGAATTGTACTCTTCAAAATCCGATTCGTAAGAATCAAAATCGTCTTCGTATTCAACCGGAGGGGCCTCCACTTTGCTTTTGGGAGCATCTGGGCCTACTATATTATTATTAACAATACTACCTTTACGCAAAGTAGCCGTTCTGGGTCTTTCTGACATCGAGCTTGTCTCTGGAGACACGTCGTTGTTGATAACTTTTGTTTTTGCTGGTATTTTTTCACTTTTAAGTGCATTAGAGTACATTTTTTTGCTAGGAAAAAATTGCGTTTTGGTAACTCGACTACTGGGTGGCGTGGCAGGTGCTCTAGTAGAACTCGTTGTTTTCTTGGCTGGTGTTGGTTTTACTCTTTTAGTTTGATTAATTGGTTTTGAAACGTGTCTCTTCATTTTGTCTTCATCGTCTTCACTTTTTTGTAGCCTTGAACTTGTTTTTATTTTAGGCGTTTCTTTTTTCGTCGTTTCTGTCGGCTTTTTCGTTCGAGTTGAAGCAAGTGTTCGCTTGGGAATTGCATCTTTTGCCTAGTAAAATGACAATAAAGCAACAAAGGGAAAAATTGATAAACCAACCTTCTTTGTAGACATATATTAATAGAAAAATGTCATTGAAGTGTGTCAGATGCCAACTCTACAGGAAACTAAAATGTCCCTGAAATAATCAATATGAGGGTAGAATAAATTTCACGGTTTGTGCTTCTGAATCAATATTTAAAGGCGGGTTCAATCAAACACTCAACTGGTAGATATACAAAATATTTAATATCACAGTGATCGTACATAAATACATTTGGTTTTAAATTACTGTAAATTAAATACAAATAAATACGAAAAGAGAAGACTAAACACTACAGGAATTAATGAAGAGGAAGAGTTACATTCAATATCACTAACTATAATATCTTGATATAGACGTTTCATACTATCAAAGTTTCTAACAATTGGAACGTTTCTCAGTCGTACTGTGTTATCATGAAACAGAATATTGGGTCTCCCGCTATAAGGACCAAAAAGTAGAAAAGACGTTGTTAACGACTTGTAATTCCTTCCAAACAAAGTATCCAATTGCAAAAACACATCAAGAGTATCTTTCATCCAAAGATCGGTACTACTATTCCTGACCATAGCTTGCCCAACTGGAGCCCAACTCAAATGACAACCCTCAAGTTTATTCTCACACAAAATATTAAACGAATTTGACTTAATCCGTCCAAACTTATTTTCAATTGGACCTGAAAACATTTTTTGCAAAACCACATCTCTTGATAAAAATAGGTACTTACTGTCGATGAAATCAATAATTGAATTCTTTGAAACGAAAGCAACGTCTCCTTTCCCGTCCAAGAGACACCTCAAAGCTCCAAATTCGCCAAAATATGAGTTCCCGTCACAATTTTGGTCGTTTTGCTGCAAACCTGGAATACAACTCGGTCCGAAAAAACCTGTAACTCTGTCAGTGTAAGGGCAATTTAAAAGTTTTTTCTCGTGTAGTGTGTGGACGACTGTATTCCAGGCAATTCCATCGAAAATTGGAAAACAAGCTTTGTAGCCTCGCAAATTTCCAAAACTGGAGATTTGGGTGGTGTTTCGCATCACTGCGACTGTGAGGTATTTCCCATCATCATTTACAGTTTCGTAGAAAAGTGTTTTTAATTTGTAGGAATGTATCGCTTTATTTAGCAAGTCTGGTGGTACTATTACAATATCAGCAGCATTATTATTGATCGCATCCATGCAATGGGTCGTATTGTCAGCTTTCAAGCAATCTAAATCTGGTTCGACACCGTAGACAGCTGCTGATTCCCTCAACCAGGAACATTTCGCGTTTTCCAGTATCGAGGTGGTACAAATCCGGATTGTTCTCGGCGGATGACATCCTGAGAAGCTATTAGCGTTCAAGAAACCAGTCGCTTGTTCAAGAAAACTCTCAATGGGTTGAATTGGTTCAAGATTATTAATAGTCAGATGGAAAGTTTCAATCAGATTTAAGACAGCGAACTGCCACGAGTAGCTATCCGCACTCGACAACGAACTAACAAACTCTTGTACTTCTTGGGCTACTGTTCTTTTTGAAGCAACGACAGGCCAAGGTTTCACCACCCAAACACATGGATTCGTACTATTGACGGGTTTGGTAGTCCCATCAGGGCAAAGAAAACTATAACCATCAGGTGACGATTCCGCACCTCCTGGTACTAACCCAAAATGGAGCTTAACATCATCAAGACGAGCCCAACTTATATCCCCGGCACCGTCTGTTAAGCAAAAGAGAGACCCTCGTCGCCCCCAATATTTATCAGACATTTCGCATTGCGATGGGTTATCGCAAAGTGCGCACAAATTGGGGTATTTAGTCTTCAATTCTTGGTCAAGTTTCGGGTTGTTGACCCAAGGACCAGCCTTGCATGCACTTTTGAAAAATTGTGAAGATGATCGTATGCGGTTTTCAGTGATGGTGTATTTAGTTTCGCAACTTTGGGGAATCACCGAAGCTTCTAAATACTGCAAAATTTATTATAATTGAGGAAATTCAAATAGATTGTTTACATTTGATAGGATTTTAGTCCAGTCGGTCTCATAGCCGTAGCCAGGGTGACAGAAATTCTTGTCTTTGAGGTCGTGCTTGCTTTTGATGCCTGAAGAATTCTGGATTACCGCCACCACCTCATATTCGTACTTGTCTGAAAGTTTTATTTTGAATTACTTTTTTCGAAAATTGGAATTTTCGTACCTTCGGTGTAACGTAACTCATTTGTCAGTAATACTTCAATCTCGGAGTTTGTAGCTGTTACTAAATCTTCCGGTGTAAATACTGAAAAATCGGCTTTTCCTTTGGAGATTTTACGCAAACAGTCTAGTCTATTAATGGAAGTGATTAACTTTTTTATTTTATGAGTTGAATATACCTGTCGATTCCGAGAACACATTCAACTTTACTGTCTGGTTTATCCAGAATTGGGCAATAGCGCCCTGAGCGTTTGAAACCTCCTCTTCCATCAACAACACATAATTTATCTAAAAATACGAAATAATTGTGTCAGGAACGAAAAATTAGAACATGAATGATTATTCTTGTTCTGTTTAAGAATTATTAAAGAAATATGTGAAAAATTCGTATTTCATCATAGAGGAAATATACTATGGGTAATATTTAATCTATGCTTTCATTTAAATTCCCATCAATAAGGAAATACAAGCACTTTGACGAAAAAACCAGTTCTTATGACGACATTAAATAGACAAAATAAAATAGATACGAAATAATTTTATCAGTTCCTAGTAGCACCATAACATATTAAAAACCAATTTTAGAACATTTATTATCATTTTTCTCTTATCATTTATTTGTTGCTCTTGGCAACATGTCAGCATCATCGGTTCATACAAATATTATTTATTTATCTATGTAAAAAAAGATGTGCAGTATTTATGGAACAACATATTAAGTTCAAGGTAGCATAAAGTCTGACCTTCAGGTTTTTATAGTAAATATCCCAAAACGAAAGAAAAGTGTCCGGCTTTAGACCAAACAACAAAAAACTCATTTAAGATAAATAATAAAAAAGTCTATTAATTATAAGACTTACATTTTTCTCCATAAACACAAGAAATAAAAAAAGAAAATGCAACAAGTGAGAAAAGACAAGTCCTTTCAATATTTGTACACATGACACCAACTCAGTAACTCACTACTCTGCGGTATGAAAAACACTGATAGTTAATGCGTTTGTTGAGGGTCTATTTTGTTGGTTCTGTTCTTCATAAATGAAGGACATTGTCGCAGTAAGATTGAACCACGAAAGTAGTAAGATTGGATGGGTTTTCCTACATGTGTTTGGGGTTTTACGCATATGGTGGGAGGACCCATCGACTACTGTTAGAAGATAAATAAGAAGGAGTAGTCAATTGATCAATTATCCTCGCGGGAATTCGCAGTAAACATTGCAACAATTAAATCATATGGCATTAATATTTTAATAGTACTTAATTAGCTTAAATCAACATAAATTTATCTGCATAAAAATGTTGTCCTTCAACAAAGAAAAATAGAAATTAGGGTAATGTGCAAATCCCTGTCTTTTCACTTTCCTTGATAAGAGATTTAATAATAAGATAATGGTGTCGTATCTACTAACATTTATAATCAAATCAAATGCGAGTGAGTAAGCGTAAAACGATTATAATAAGTCCTTCATTTATTAGTATGAAGAAATTAAGTGAGTTTTGTTTTCTATTTTAATTGTGTAATTAATATAAATAGCTTGGGATTGAATAGGCCGCTTAATTAGGTTCCTCTTCATCGTCGGGAAGACAAATATTACATAACGCATGAATGGTAGTAGATTTAAATAATGATCTTTTAATAAATTACATAAGTTTCAAAGTGCCTTATTCTGCTTCAAAACGAACGCTAATTAAACAGGAATCGTTTAGTTACTTTTAATTAAATGTACACAATACGACACCAAATTCTTTTTAGTTTTATTACCAATCATGACACTATCACAACGAAATTTTGATGTAACACCTTTTAAGTACCATTATATTTATAGAGAAAGTTTAAGTTTTATCCTACATTTCATCAAAAACACATCGTTTTTACTCATTTATACGTTTTTATTTCTTTCGTCAAGAAAACTTACAATAGGCAACATTCCGTTTGTTTGTATTATGTGTTGCCTATAACTTCAGCGTAAAATTAACAAAAAGTCGTAAAAAAATTTCAATTAAAATACAATTTACATAATGTATGCACAACAGAATGTTTATTTTAATTTTAAATAAATGTGTATTTGTTATTGTTTGCTCTAAAAGCATTTAGCAGAAATCGAAATTCTTTGGTGATTTTATGGAAATTTTCGAAGGGCTCTTGGCGTCAATCAGGTAAAAATCCCTTCACTCACGACTTACCCAAACAAGCCTTTAAAATCCAACTGCTTAAAGTTAAATTAATTATGCCAATGTCCAGTTATCACATGGGTCAACATTCTTAACAAGAATTTTAACGTTGATATCGAAGAGACAGCCGAGCAAAACTTAGTGCAAATTGAATGTGCGACAACTAGTGTTTATTTATCGTTACTTACTTCCCATTATAATTATTTTTAGAACAGTGTTCAAGTTGTTGCGTGGAAGAGCGGAGTTGTGTATAGCTTGTAATGGAACAAAACAATATGTTATACCTACCCAGCAAATATCAAATAATCACCATTGGAAAGTGATAAATCACGAAAGATGGTAATTTTAGTGGCAACTAGTGACTAACTCAATACTCAAGAAAACGGCCGTAAACTTTTATCAGATAGTAGACAAAAATTGATCAGAACGTAAGTATTTAAATTAAATCGGAATTTCAATAATACAAGCGAAAAATGTGGTAAAAGTTATATAATGTTTGGCTGATGATAATTTTAAATGAACAGTTGACGTTAGATTCTACGTAGTCATAAATTGAGATTTTTTTTCACATTTTTAGAACACTATTTTCAAATTCAAATCAAAAGAATATTTAAATTGACACACACGTTCTACTTATCTATTTACATTTAGATTAAAATGTTCATTCCCCTTTTTTACGATTATGTAGGTAGCTGTTTTAGTTATGTTATATTATTATGTTTCAATTAATTTTAGTAAAATAAAAGAATTATTAATTATTTACTACTTTAATAGGGGCCATAAATAGTAAGATTTAAAAGTTTATAAAGACATAATTATAATAAAAAATACATCTGCAAATATTCTGTAATAAAATGAATTTGAATAGGATAATAAAATTAATCATTAAATTAAGTAACATAGATAAATTTTATCATTTAGTTGATAAAAATACTAAAACCTGACATTTTCCACTCAACCTCAGAATTGAATCCTTCCTTGTTACCTTGCAGTCAAACCTTCATGTGAGACAACGTACTTAAAATCTTGTAACAATGCACGTAAACAAGAAATTCCTGCCCATAAAGGCCCATTATTTTTTCTTCATGGCAGGTGAGTCAATCCCGATAAAAACTTATCGTTTTTCATTACTAATAAATAATAATTCCAGCAATGGGCCCCATCCTGCCGCAACTCCCTGTCTATGGTAAAGAATTAGGTATTTCCTCAGTCGTAATGGGCACAGTCACCGGAATTTTACCATTTGCTTTTCTTTTCGCTAAACCTTTATTCGGACTTTTGGTCGATGTTTACCGAGATTACCGAAAAACAATTTTCATGATGCTGATTCTTGTCATGACGATTTGCTTCACGGTGATGAATTTTATACCAACTAGGGAGCTTCTCGAGATGGAGTTTAGGAATGTCAGCGCTGTTGTGGATTCATGTAATGTTACAGTCAGTAGATTAATGTTGCACAATTACAGATAATAGAGATAATTTGTTGAAAATTATTTTTTTGTTTATAATAATGCAAGTTTTTACAATTAATTTCATCTTTCAGGAGATTGCATCCGAATGCACAAATAGGACGACTCGAGTAGTGTGCAAAAGTAAATGTTTCACTGACAATGAGACAAGTTTTTTACTCACAAGTGACTCAAAAAGTCAAATTTGTGCCTTAACGAAAATCCCAAATTACGAAAATTCTTCAAAAACTTGTGATATTTTCTGTAGTAATAAAGATGTAGAGATCTACGCTGGATGTTTATACAAATCAATCTCTTTTTGGAGTTTTGTGATACTGATGTCGATAGGGACTATAGGTTTTAACGTTGTTAATTCAATCAGTGATGCTATTTGTTTTGACGTGATTGGTGAGTCTGTTTTCTAAGCCGTAAAATTTTCACTAATTTAAAAATTTCAGGAGAAGACGGCGATTATGGCAAGCAAAGAGTTTGGGGGACGATTGGTTTTGGTCTCACCGCCTTGATCTCCGGATACGTTGTAAACCTTTTTTCGGAAAATACAGTCAACTATACTCCAGCTTTTATAATAATTCTCGTGTGTTCAGTTATAGACATCATCGCTTGCGTCAAACTTGAGGTAACAAACCAATTAATCGAAAAAAAAATCAAAACTAATCATAATTCCAGCTTCCTGTAATCCCAGTTCCTGAAAACATCTTCAAAGACTTGAAGAAACTCTTGAATAATAGATACGTGGTGACTTTTATCACTTTTGCCATCTTCGCTGGGATTTTAGATGGTTTAATTATTTATTTCTTGTTTTGGCACTTACAAGAACTGGCAAGGACCACAAACACCTCAAACGTGAAACTGATCGAAGGTTTAGTTGTCGCAGCTGAAACCTTGGGTGGTGAAGTAATTTTTTTCTCTGTTGCGGGGAAAATCCTCGACCGGTTTGGCCACGTGCACTGTTTCAGCATGTGTTTTATTAATTATGCTCTCCGATTAGGGTTAATATCAATCGCACCCTCGCCGTGGTGGATTGTCCCAATTGAGTTTTTCATGCAAGGGCCAACGTATGCACTTACTTATACCACGATAGTGGCCTATGCTAATGAGTTGGCCCCGCCGGGGGCCTCGGCGACTATGCAAGGCATAGCGGCAGGGATGGACGATGGAATTGGTAGGGTTTTATAAAGAAATAATCAAAATTTTATTTGTTTTAATAGGGTATGCCATCGGGGGTATTCTTGGAGGAGTTTTGTATGAATATGTTGGAAGTCAACATACGCTGCAGATTTTTAGCGTCTTTGGACTGATTTGTAGTCTTTCGCATTTGCTGTTGCATAAGACTGTTCTGCGGCTAAAAGTGCCCGAGAAAAATGCGCAAAGTGTGGAGTATAAGAGCCCGGAAGAGGCCTACAAAGCGACTTATGAAATTAGTTGAATTTTTGTTAAGGATCTAGCGAAATAATGTTACTTAGAAAGAATAAAGATTTATTTTTTGAGTATAGTAATTTTTTATTATCGTTAAACGAAACGCTTTTTCTTATTATATTACTTATACCAGGTGAATAAAAAGTATGAAACCAAACGTTTTTTGCTTAAACTATTTATTTTTTGAAAAAACTAATTGATGAGTGCTCAAGTACTATAAAAATGTGATGATTTAACAAGAATAAAATTTTTCGAAATTTGTTTTTATTTTTGAGGTCAACAAAAAAATTAATTTTTTTAAATAGCAACCCACTATAAAATCATTTTTCTCATAAAAGCCATACTCTAAGGATTACAACTATCTGCTTTATTTTTAATTTTTTCAAAAAATTTTTTTCACATAAATTGCAATTTTGACAAAAAAAATCGCATAACTCAAAAACAAAACAAAATTTCGTTCTGAAATTACGATCACATTTTTTATATTACTTTAATTTATATTAATTATTATTTTCCGGAGGCAAATGATTAAAAATAAAACCGCTTGGTTCCATACTTCATTTTCACCGTGTATGTATTTTTGACATTGCTCTTGATTTATGAACATTCAAAATTTTATACGAGTGACTTTTTGGAATGTTTTTTTTTTGTTTTCAATGTTTAATTTTTTGAAGCATTTATCAAAATTTTTGTATTAAATCAGTAATTGATATAAGATTTAATTTGATGACACTGTTTTTGAAGATTTTTAAAAGTAAAATTACTCTTCAAGTTAAATAATTTTTTAAAACTATCACAATTTAAGTTTTTAAGGATTGTTAGTTACAAAAATAAACCTGCTTAAACTTTACACCCATTACTGTATGGTTTTATTTTAATTAATTATTTCTGTTTCTTACAATCTCTAAAAATTAACTTATTGCAATATTGCATAATAAGTATAATATTTGTAGTAGCAAAATACATCTGAAGTATTAAGAATGTAAAAGTTTTGAAGTCCTCAAATTTTTTTTTTTATAGAAGTGAAGTTTCAATAAGAAATACATTTTCTAGAAGCTAATATGTTTATCATATTGATTATTTGAAACTATCACAGTAAACTCTTGCTGGAAGTTTGAAAAAAACGTTTAAAGATTTCGTGGAGATGTTTCCCTAAGTTAAAAAAAATAAGAAAAAAACTCCTAAGAGAGCTACAGCCGCCTGAAGATGGCGAAATTTTTTGGTGTTGCATCTATTGGCGTTGAATAAGTTACACCAGGTGGTTGCATCCAAAAGCTCACATCTTGCATCCACTTTTCGCACACGCAAAAATGTACACGGATTTCACTTCTATAGTATAACTTATTCAATGCTATTGGTGATATCAAAAATTATGTACCTTGATTAGGAAGCGTATTTAAAGCGTAAAATTTAGTTTTGAAAATTTTTTTTTGGCAGATTTGAATGTTTTGGCTAATTTTCTTCAAAAAATGTTTTTATATTATTTTTGTACGACACACCGTTTTCGAGAAAAACGAGTTTTTCTTAACCGTGCACCGACTATAATAATTCCAAAAAGCAACTCACGCGTTTTTTTATATCGCTCTATAACTCTTTTAGGAAGCATTTGTTGATATAGATTCATAAAAACCCTCTGAAGTCTTTCCACGTTTTTTTTCCGCACATTCTGTATGACCCTGCATGAGAATGTGAAAAAAAAGATATGCTCATAGAGTTCTTTCTGTTTGTATACAGTGAGTCAAGGTTACGTGATGTTACAGGTAGTCAATAATTATACTTTAAGTTGTCTTTAAGTTACTTTTAAAAAAATGTCAGTGATAGTAAAAAGTTATCACGATTTTCGGATATAATTTTATATAGAACCAGAATAAAGTCCTTAACTCAGTTTATATCAGCTAAAACAACCTTAATGTAATAAAAGAGAAATTAAAGTTTGTTTAATAATAAGTCTGAAGAAAAATAAAATTTTTAAGCACGTGCGACCCCTGCTAAATCTTATAAACACACAAACTAGATAAAGATAATCTCTAAGAAAAATTAACATTGTCTTATTATGAGTTTTGTCTTTAGTGAAACTAGGTTTTTCTTGTTCTTTGGTGGGAAACATGAAAATAAACACTAAACTACTGCCGATTAAATTACATTATTTCTTTTTTATGGCTGGTGAGTGCATTTATCAAAAACTTTTCGAGTTAATTTTTCCATCAGCTGTAGGGCCAATTCTTCCTCAGTTGCCGCTTTTTGGAAAGGATTTAGGGATATCTCCGGTAGTCATGGGCACAATAACGGGGATGTTGCCTTTCACATTTTTAATAACGAAACCAATTTTTGGCTTGGCCGTGGACGTTTGGAGAAATCAACGGAAAACTATTTTTACATTTGTGATACTGTTGATGACTATTTCTTTCGGTGCTTTATACTTTCTTCGTTTACCAACACCAGTCACATTCTATTTCCAATTTTCGAAAAACGCACATCTGGATTCGTGTCCCAACGCTACGGTTTCCGTACTTTGCAACTCAAGTTGTTTGACAAAACCGACAAATTTTGCAGCAAGTGTTATTGAACCTCAAGTTTTTAAAGTTTGTTTTTTACCTGTTGGTGAGTTGATTTGGTCGGAGAATTTCACTTGTGATTTTATTTGTACTGGAGATTCTAACTTGAGTAAACAAAGGTCTTATGAATTATTCACCTTTTGGAGTTTTATCATGCTCATGTCTGTGGGGACAATAGGATTTAATATTGTTAACTCAATCAGCGACGCAATTTGTTTTGATGTTGTGGGTACGAGATTTGTTTGAACAAATTATCAAATTTTCATGATTTGTTTATAGATAATCAGAATCTTTACGGCAAGCAGCGATTATGGGGTTCGATCGGATTTGGAATCACAGCATTAATAGCAGGATATGTTGTTGATTTTTTTTCTAACAGTATCACAAATTATGCTGCAGCTTACATAACAATGCTTATTTGTTGCATTTTTGATTTATTGGTTTGTTTCAAATTGAAATTACCGGTGATAGAAGCCCCTAAAAATATTTTCAAAGACTTGAAATTATTATTTACTGATCGATATGTAAAAACCTTTATCGTTTTTACTGTATTTATCGGAATGTTAGATGGTGTAATAATTTATTTCCTTTTCTGGTATAAGTCACTAATTCTATTGAAACAATTACGGATAGTAAAATTTCAGGTACTTGGAAGATTTATCAACAGAAACACACACCCCCAACGTGAAACTAATGGAAGGTTTAATTCTCGCAGCTGGTTGTTTAGGCGCTGAAGTAATATTCTTTTTTATATCAGGTTAAATTAATTTTACTTTTGCACGCAACTAAATTTTAAACTTAATTTTCAGGAAAAATTTTACAGCGGTTAGGTCACGTACACTGTTTCACTCTATGTTTCTTCAATTACTCTTTACGATTAGGGTTGATAGCTCTAGTCACAAATCCTTGGTGGATTTTACCAATTGAATTATTTTTACAAGGTCCCACTTTTGCGTTAAGTTACACGACTATTGCAGCTTATGCTAACGAAATAGCCCCAGTAGGAATGTCCGCTACTATGCAAGGAATTGCCGCAGGAATGGGAGATGGCACTGGTGGGTTAATTAAAATCGAGATTTGTGTTATCAATAAAATTGTAGGTTACGCATTGGGGAGTGTTTTTGGAGGTGTGCTTTATCGGTTTTTGGGAGGAAGAATGACTTTTGTGGCCTTTATGGCGTTTGGACTGACGTGTGGAGTGCTTCATTTTGTGTTGCATAAAACTGTATTGAAGTGTGATAAAAAACGTGATTATGAAACCCTAGACTGATGAGTTTTTTATATAAATAAAGAAAATCCCGTCTAAATCGTTTGATCGTTGGCTTGGGGTGATTTTATAATAAGTAAGCGCAACGCAATAGCCTTACGTGTCGCCGCGTCACCTGTTACAGCTCGATAAGGTCTCACGGCTTATGACTTTGCATCAAGTTGTAAAAATCCTGTCACACATATCAGGCTTTTTCTTCCCGCAATTTTCCCTATTAATTACGTTGAGTAATTTCAAAAGACGAGACTGGTGTAATTACAAGTTGCAACCGGTGCAATTAGCGTTAACTATGCACAAGTTGGTGAAATTCGTTCCTGAATGTAAAGATCGCCCAGGTCATACCTAATGACCCTAATAATGACTATTTCAGTGGTAATTCTGTTTCCATAACAAAGTTGGGGCACACACACCTGAACATTCTCACCATTTGACTGGAATATCACCTGAAAGACTAATGCTCTACCATCTTTACACAACTTTACCCAACTTTAAACATTACACCGAGCGGCGTTGAATTACAAACGAAAATGGACACGAAACACTCATTCCTGAATATTTATGGACGACTTTCTGTCGGGAACGTCTCACGAGAAGCGCTAATTTAAGCGTTTATGCAAGAAATACATAAATTGCTCTGTGACAAAACGCCAAAAAAATTTCATTTTTTGAATTAAAATTCAACTTTTTTAAATTTGTGTATAAGACGTTTCGTGTAATGTTTTTTGTAATTTGAGTCAACAAGTTGGATTTAAACTCAGTGTTTAAACGTGTGCCCTTTAATTTTTCGATCAAACAGTTGCCGCACCTGTCCATTTTATCAATTATCGCTAGTGACATCATCAAATGGTGTTTCCACATGTGGAATCACACGGCTGAGGGATTCTAGGGTTGATTCGAACTCCGGATGTAATAATTATTCGACGCGATAGCACCGTAGGACATCAAAACGGTCACACGCCACCGACAAATTATGCCAGTCTGTAATATTACAACCGCTTACCTCTGTGAATTTTAAATACCATTACATTAATTATGGTTTATAAACGACATGACGATTTTGAAGATTGAATATTCCTTTTGATAAAAGGCCTGCGACAATGTAATTGAAGAGAAATACCACACAAAAACTGGAAATATTCCATGTTTGATTCAAGTCCCTTTAAATTATCTCCTTGGTTTATTAATGAAATCTCATGATATGTTGTCGAACTCGCCGACATTATAAAGTAATGACAATAGAATTTTGTTTGTTTAGATTTGTTTTATTATTACAGAATGCCGTTTGCGTAAAGACAACATAATATATCACAACGGCTAAATAATGGAAACGTGACATTTTGTTTACTTTGACATCAGAGGACATGTGGACACAAGGCGATAAAAATCTCATCACGAATTTTATTTAGTTTCTGTCTATACTTTGCCTTTAAATTTACTGTAATCGACATTGCTTATTACAAAATGACCAAACATCATCAATAAAACAAACTTATTCTGTCAATAATAACAACGAGGACTATGTTTTATAAAAAGAATATTTACAAAAATTAAAAAACGATGTATTGACTCAAAAATTGTTGCAGTTATAAAGAACAAATCTAAATAATGATTAATAGGGTTATTATTTTTATTCGTAATTTATTAATTAGCATTATTTTTTGACCAGAATCTAACTAACAATTAAGTTACATTTTTTCATTTTGTAATGTTTAATTTTAAAAGTGAATATGTTCAAAATAAACAGTCTAATCGAAAAACTAAATAAAAAAACTTTTATTAAATGGTGTACAAAATATGTCGATATGTTTATAAAATACTAGCTGTTGCCCGCGGCTTCGCTCGCGTGGTAGTTTGACATCCACAACTATTTCAAAACGCAGAAGGGCTAAGAAACTTACTAACAAAATATAGCAACACATAATTTATTATGAACTTCGTAGTAAAAATAAAGAGTCCGTCTTTTATAACTTATTTAAAAACCGTAAAATTTTAAGTCTTATTTCATGGATATTACTTAACAATGACAAATTTTGATACAAACTTTCATCCCTTATTTGACCCCCTTAGGGATAGAATTTTCCAAAATCTTGAAACATGTGCTATTTTGTTTTTAACTGAACACCCAAATACCAATTTTCATAGATTTAACTTAAAAAAAAAACGGATATTTTACGAAGTTTTACCCTTGTTCAACCCCCTTGAGGGTGAAATTTCCAAAAATCCTGAAACACTTATTACTTGATTTTTAATCGAAAGCCTAAATACAAATTTTCAAGGATTTAACTTTATAAATGACATATTTTAAAACAAACTGTCATCCCTGTTTAACCCCCTAGAGGGTGGAATTTTCAGAAATCCTAAAACACGTGTTTCTTCATTTTTAACCGAAAGCCCAAATCCCAATTTTCATAAATATAACTTCAAAAATGACGAAAACATAAATATTTATACAAATTTTCATCCCTTGTTTGACCCCTTTGGGGATGAAATTTTCCGAAATCCTAAAACACGTGTTTCTTTGTTTTTAACTGAGAGCCCAAATACCAATTTTCATAAATTTAACTTTAAAAAAAAATACAAATATTTTACGAACTATTACCCTTGTTCAACCCCCTTGGGGGTGAAATTTCCAAAAATGGTAAAATACGTATTTCTTTATTTTTAACCGAAAGCCTAAATACCAATTTTCATAGCTATAGCTTTAAAACTTCGAATTCACCACCTCATTTAACCCCCTTAGGGGTTGATTTTCCAAAGATCCTTTCTTATTGGATGCCTACGTTATAAAAGGTATCTACTGCAAAAATTTGAAATTTCTGTTTCCAGCGGTTTAGGCTGTGGGTTGATAGGTCAGTCAGGACAAGCCTCTTTATATATACATATACAGAGTGCGCCAGAACTCGCGCCCCAGAGAAAAATGCCATATAAGGTAAGATACCAGGAACATGGAAAAAATGTTAAAAAAATTTTATCTATAAAAATTTCGAAGTTATGTTTAAAGTTTGCACTTTGACTATTTATTTCTGTTAGAAAAAAATTTTGCCAAGTTCTTTTGCTATAGGCTATTAAAAGAGGAAACAAGGAAGCTGTATCCTAAATTGTAACTCTGTTCAATATTATTTGTGGCTTTTATTGGCAAAATTTTTGTCCCTTTACTAAATGATTGTAAAAAAACATATACAAGATAATCAGTATTATTCAATAGATATATAAAAAATGTCAAATGTCAAAAAATAAATGTCAAAATTTTTTTCATGTTCCTGGTATCTTACCTTACTTGAAAATTTTCTCTGGGTCGCGAGTTCTGGCGCACCCTGTATTGTGCAATTCATACGGACATTGCCCTTTAAATAAAGAATGTAGTTTTATTATTACTAAAAAATCCAATAATTAGATTTTTTTGTGATTAGGGTTTTGAAATTTCAAGTCAATATTTTTTTTTTACAAAATTGTGTAAACAAAGTTCTAGTTACCTATCTGTAGCTAAATAATTACGTAAATCTACAATAAATTCATTTATGTCATATCATGAAATAAATTTTGGGTCGCTGTCGACAAAACTCGAGTCTTTGATTGATTCATAAAAATTTAAACCGCACAATTTGTCAAAATACAGGGTGAGTCTTAACTTATATGGACAAACTTAGGGAATTATAGTTCTTGCACAATGACAAGTAAACAGAGTTTTTCATTTTTTCGATTTTTTTTCTTTTTTGTTTCGAAAAATACTGTTTTCATTTTTGCAAATTTATCGAATTATTTTCGTAAAGAAAAAAAACATTATTTAACTTATTTTGCATTTTACTCATTATTGATCATAACTTAATAACATTTTTTTCATTGTGACTATCGAGTGTCAAATTAGGAATAAGTCGATGTCTACCAGTAAACCGAGCTATCATCATTCCTTAAGTTTATAAGACACACTCTGTATAATATAATTGTGATATGTCAATTAAAACTTTATTATATTTTAAAGTGTACAATCTTTTGTTTCTCAAAGTCGACTGTGACTCCGAATTAAATTGATCATACGGTATATCTAAATATTAATTTTATTTATTGACTATCGGAAATTTATTTTAATAAATATACAGGGTGCGCCAGAACTCGCGTCCCAGAGAAAATTTTCAAGTAAGGTAAGATACCAGGAACATGAAAAAAATGTTTAAAAAATTCTCTGTCAAAAAATTTTGACATTTAGTTTTTGACATTTGACATTTTTTTATATCTATTTAATGATACTGATGATCTTGTATGTGTTTTTAATAAAGGGACAAAAATTTTACCAATAAAAGCCACAAATAACATTGAACAGAGTTACAATTTAGAAAACAGTTTCCTTGTTTTTTTTTAATAGCCTATTGCAAAAAATCTTGGAAAATTATTTTTTCAACAGAAATAAAGAGAGTCAAAGTGCAAACTTTAAACCCTCATACCTTCGAAATTTTTATAATTTTATTAACATTTTTTCCATGTTCCTGGTAGCTTACCTTATATGGCATTTTTCTCTGGCGCCCGAGTTCTGGCGCACCTGTATAGCTATACGTATAGAATCTAGAATAAATAATAAATTATTCTTTCGTTAATCTTACTTTATTATTATTTTTAGTATGAGATAGCTATAAATAATAATAACTAAAACAAGAACAAAAAAAAAACATTAAAAGTAGTAAAAATAATTCTAAAAATAATATTCTCCTAACTAAATTTCTACTAACTAAAAACTACAAAAGCATCAATCAATCATCAATCAAATTCGGTGTTTTTTACATTAGTTTTAACTTATTTTGTATTTTTTGCTCCAAAAAATAAAAAAAAGCAGATAATACATCTGCACAACCAATTTTCTTAGAAAGATAGCTTTAAGTTTTAATCTTTTGGAAGCTAGGCTTATGAACAAGTTCAAAACTGTTTCAAAAATGCATATGATAAAAAATACATTTATCTGCACAAAAATAACCACTTTTATGACTAAATGTCACAAGCAAAAGTATAAATTCTATTTTTGCGTTTTTACTGTTACCATAACATTATTGACATTTGCCAGTGTTGTATCTTACTTGTCTCTTTTGCTGCTTCAGCAATTTCTGGAGAGGTACATTGTAGATCATGAGCATTCGACATTTAGTACTACCTGCACTAGTTAAATTAATAGACATGTTTGACTGTCTCAAATTCCGATACTGACGCGTGAAGTTTGTTAAGATTTTATTACTTGCAAAGCGTTTTGATTATTTTGTTCATTTACTTGTTAATTATAGTGTTGCTCTTTACTCTCGATTTGCATACGTTTGTGGAAAAAATAGTATATATTACTTGGAATAAAAGTTTATGTGGCTCAGCTGAATTAAATAAACGTTCAGCTTCGCCACATAAAATATAACTTTTACTCTTAATAACATAATATACTATTTCCTTATTAGCTTTTTGTTAAAAATTTCAAGCATGTAAAATTATTAATATTCTCCAAGCAGAGAACTGAAAGATTGAAGTTTCAAATACATACATCATAGTAATACCTATTTTTTTGAAATTTTGTTCTTTAAATTTTTGGGTAGTAGATGTTGCTTTTAAACTGAATGATTTTTTTATACATGTTACGTATTCCATATTCGCACTTCTCGAACAAAAATTATTAAGAACCAACATTTTTTTCTAATTTTGATACCTTGCCAAAAAAGATTTTAAAACTGAATCTGGAATCTGGAGATTCATTTATGAATTAGAAAAACATTAATTATAGTTTAGGTTTCGTTTCCTAATCGCTAGCTACCTTTACTCAACCCTTATCTTTAACTTAATTTTTTTACTTACATAAAATGTAAATAAATAAAAACTACGGGTACATAAAATTTTTTCAACATTCAAATAGTGTTAATAATAATAACTAAAAGTACCTAGTACCTTTCATATAAAAGTATTAATGTGCATCAAGCAGGTTGTACAAGTCTAAATGCATCTTTAACTTAAAAGCTGATTCACACAAAAAGTGTCATTAATGTCATTCAGAACAAATTTAATCTCATCAATGATGACAAAAATCTTTATTTTTGCTATCCTATATTAATTACGTTGTTAATTTTAATTATTTTTGCTACCTGGAGACACATTTATGTAGAAAAAATTATTTTTATTGAAAATTGAGGTTAGGATTGTTTGAATTTTTGCATGGTTGTCAACTTAAAATGATCCCTTTCAACGACTACTTCGATGCACATTAATATAAAATCGAGTATATATATGTTATTGGTTTTGAACTGTTCCTTCGCGATCCTAATCGACGTGTTTTTTGTAATAAGTATTTATTCAAAATTAAAAGTTATAGAGATAATCCAGTTTTGAAATAAAAGTACTTTATAAAAGATAACACACTGGCTAGTAAATTTATGTGAATAATTAACAAATTAAAACCAACATGTCATTAGTCTTTATCGATTGTAATAACGTCCTCAACTTTAAAATGCCCCATGGAACAAATCGTCAGGATTCATTACCCATAACGAGTTAGCATATTATGAGCATAAATAATAAGTTATAACAAGATACAACGAAATTAAAAATAAAGTAATTCATGCATAATAGAAGCCGGTTAATGCGTGTATATCGCTTTCGAACGATGGAAAATAATGGTTACTGTATTGCAGTCATACATTTGGTCATATTATCGTCGAACTCGTTTAATAATTAACGAACGTTTTTCATGACTTTCACTCCAGAACGTGTTAGGGTGGAGTTTAGAAAGCTTATTGTTTCAGGTCTTCGCAAACATACTTGTTGGAAAGGTCCGATTGACCAATAAATTTTCTCAACTTTCGCGCAAGTCGGAAAAGGCGGGGTGTTCTCGACGCTGACGCCCACATTTTTCATAATAAATTCATAGCAACGTTATGTTATCGTAATATGAGACCATTGGGATCAAATTATCACGTGCCCCGACTATTGGCAGTGTTTATTTAGACTTTTGCGGCTTCAACAACAAATGGAACTATGATAATGAATCAAAAAATTAAGTAATGTAGTGTCTGTGATTTTTTAAGAATGGATCAAAATGTTCACTACGATTTTGGTGGAGGCGCCGGGAACGGCCTCTTGCCAGTCTCGGCCTTCTCTGCCTACAGCTTGCTGAGGAGATGCAATTATTTTTTAACACCACAAGCACCATCAGGTTTGTAAAAACATATCTTCAAGAAAATAAAAAAAAATATTTTCCAAGTCTCAAAATATTATTGAATGATAAAAATCAACGTTTATTTATTCAATTTTTTTTTTTGTATCTGAAAAAATTATCACAATATTTTAAGTTTGTGTTATTAGATTATAAAAAAATTGTTTTATCAATCAACAAATTTACTTAAAAACAAAGATTATACCACTTATGTGCGATTTGATCTATAATATTTTTTTAAGTACAGTTTTTTATCACATTCTACGTCTACTTCTTCGAAAATATTTTTTGCCATCTGAAAAAATAATTTTTTATTTTAAAATTTAAGTTTCAAGTTTTGCTGATTTTTTTTCTAAGATTGACAATTGTATGCTTTATGTACTTTTGGTAGTCTGTTTTGTGGTTTCTATTCAATTTACATGTCATTTAATTAGGTACAAAAAAATTAATTTATTTCTAAAATTACCGTGATGTTAGAATTTTTAAGTCTGACAATTTATGCATGTTTTATCTGACCGCATTAATTTACTTCAGAAACAATTTCTAGGAATAGCATTAACATGAAATGATGATCACGCCTTACAACAACACGCAACACCTATCTTATACCTTACAACCCTTATCATATTCTTATTTCCAGAAAAACTGTGATTTACATTTCAGAAATTCACGCCAAAACAGCACCTATTCAAAGAATTCCCCTTGAATCTTCTCTCCCAGAAAACATTTCATGCAAAGATAACGAAAAATATTTCTTAAATTTACCAAGAAAATCCCTGGTATCACCACCTCTTTTCGGTTACCCTCACCATCTTCAACATGGTTTACAAAATGAGCAATTAATAAGTAAGTCTCAGATTGTAATTGTAAAAAAATTGTCATTTCAATATTTAGATACTCGTGTCAATGTAACATCTCCGTGTTCGTCGTTATATTCTTCAAACTTTCGGCGACAAAGAGGAGAGAAGAAACCAATTCCGGAAGAACAAAAAGATGAAAAATATTTCGAACGAAGACGTCGCAATAATCAAGCAGCGAAGAAATCCAGAGATGCGAGAAAAATGAGAGAAGATCAAATTGCACTAAGGGCCACTATTTTAGAGCATGAAAATGCGATTTTGAGAGCACAGGTGTTAACTTTAAGGGAGGAAACGTCGTCTTTGAGACAACTGCTTCTGGAGAAGAAAACGTTAGAAATTGCTTCAAGAGATACGCAAATTTGTGGCTCGTGATTTTGTGAATCAGAAAAAGAACTGTCATCTGTGATTTTATTATTTATTAATTTTTTGTATTACATAAAGATGCACAGTTTTTACATAATGATATTAACAAAGTTTATTATTATTATTAAATTAAACAAAACAGAAACTAGACACAATTTGAGTTGATGGTTTTTAAGCAGGTACCTGACAAAATGTTATCTTTTTCCTCAATAAAAATGTAAAAAATTATAAAGGCAACAAGCATTTATTTGAAATAATGTCCAGTAAAATACTCTATATTTTTGTTATGGTGTATTCAACGTCAAAAGGTTGGTACGGATATTTCTCATACAATAGTTTAAAAAAATCTAGAAATCTTACAGAAGATTTACTTCCGTAGCAACAAATAATTCTGATAATCAATTGAAATCAACAAACTGACTTTAAAATTTTACAATTTTTCTGAAAATTGTTGCAATATTTCGAAATGAATTCAGCAATTCACCAATTCGTTAGACGAAGCCCCTTGCTTCTGAGACAAAGCGGTGTTTCTAAAAATTTTGTACGCACGGAACTATGCGGTGGGGTTCCCGGAGAGGTAATTTATCAGATTCACCATTTATTGGAAATGTGGTTTCATTTATGTTTATTTTACAGAATATGCCGTTCAAGTTTCACAATAGGTTCACTTTTACACTAAAATGTTGGATCTTTTTTGTCTCTGGTTTTTGGGCCCCCCAATTCGTCGTGGTTTATCAACTTCTTAAATAGTTATCAATCATAATTGTTTTTTTTTTAATAAATGATTGTTTTCTAAACTTTATTTAAATTTAGCGCGAAATTTCAACAGTTGACAAACATGTAAACGTAACCTAACATTTTCAAATATTTCGCTCCAATTTTTCGCAATGACTGCCATCGAAGCGAAAATACGTGAATTGGGTCAAAAACGCGACATTGAAGGCCTACAAGAATACGTGACTAATTTAACCGTGGATGAGGCTAGTATATCATAATTTTTTTTAATTTTCTAACCTCAAATTGCCCCGCAGCTTGTAAATGTGATTCAGACACGGTTAAATAACTCAAATTTTACGTACACATGGAATTACATTCTCCAAGGCTTCTCGGAGAGTTCAAACTCTCATAAAAAACGCTTTGAAGTTGTTTTGAAGGCTATCAAAGAAGTGGAGAAAAGTGAAATTTCAAGTTCTAACAGCAATGCTATTATGCGGCGACTTTGTATGGAATTTGCCAAATTTCATACGGAACATTTGTTAAAATTGTGTGATTTTTGTGTTGAATGTTTACAGTCTCAGAGATTTTCACAAATGAGGTTGGTAAACGCCTTGGTTTTCACTGATTTACCCATTTGTGGTTTCAGTTGGAAAGAATTATTACCCGAATTATTAAACGTATTAAGTGAGAAAGAACGTATAGAACACGATGATGAAGAAATATCCGGCATTGATTATAAGCATCAAGTAATTAATAACATATGCACATTGCAGTGGTCCCCCAGTATTGTTATAACATTAACTGAGATGTTTATGTACTTTTGTTACTTTTTTATTGCGATTTTTTCAAGTTGATGATTTCAGCGACCTTTCACTCTCAAAGGAAGAACACTCGCAAGTTGTTAACAAGTTGGGAAAGCAATTAGAAAAAATGACTCCACAAGAAATCCCAGCTTTTGTTTACCAGCTGTTGAAATTGTGTAAAAACAACAACAGTAGAATTATCTTTATAAGATTACAACATTATTTCGCCTTGAGATATCATGATAAATTATTGGATCAAAGCAATTCAAATTCAGACAGTACAGAAATGGATCTAATTGGTATTGTTTCCACACAAAATCTACATTTTTAGTAATAAAAGTTGTAGAGGACGCTTCAGGTCAAGACATTTTGGAAGCAGAAGCAACAGTACTATACCATATCCACACTTCAGCGTCTCTAGGCTATGAGTGTATTAAAGATTACTTAAGTTTCTTAAAAAACGTTTTGAGAACACCCGAATTTATCCTCCACCCCTTCCAATTGAGTGTTTTATTAACTTTGTCCACAATACCTCACTATGAGGAGAGAGTTTTTGAAATAATTAGGTCCTGTGTTTCTAGGATGTTTCACGAAGAACAGAAGAAAATTTCTTCAGCTTGGTTCAAGAATTTGGTCCCTCTTAAAACTAGACTTGAAACAATCTTTGACCATGTTGTTACCTCCAGGTTTGTTTTATGATTTTTCTCAGACAATTGAAATTGTTATTTGTTTGTTTCAGTGCCCAGGACCGCGATTTGGTTGTTCAAGGACTTGTTAATTTTGCTTTTGTGCTTCTTGGAGTTGGCTCAGCCTTGGGTCGAGACCCAATCGCTGAAAAACAGTGGCAATTAGGGAGTATCATTTTGTTTAAAGTAATTAAAAGAAAGCGACACACTGCTTCCATCATTATGGAAAATCTCAGCAACAGAATTATGACTGAACAAACAGTGTCTCAATATATTGGTATTTAACTCGAAAAGTGTGATAAAAAAGTCACATAACTTTTTAGAATGTCTCTACATGATGAGTAAAAGCTTGGCTCTCTTAATGTTGGAAAACAAAAGCACTATTATTTCACTTATGGAAGGCTTAATCCAGATACCATCAACAAACGCTTTGCAATTGCTAGATGCGATTATTCCTCTCACTAAAGTCTCACCTACCATCAGAGATCACTTTATTCTCTTGTTGAGAAAAGCTTTATATTCAAGGGTTACCGAAACGAGACAAGTTGCAGTAATTGGATATTTAAAATTATTGACAAACTTGAAAATCTCTGATTTAACCGTTTTGAGTCAAGGATCTTATTCATCCGGTCATTCGTTGTTTACTCAAATTTCGATGAGTAGAGCATCGCAATGCACACCTAGTGCTTTCAGTAACGAAGCTCTCTCTTTGGAAATTTTGAGTATCCTGAAACGATGTTTTATGCAACAAGCTGAAGTTAGGATTCAATTATACACAGGTAACGACGCTGACCGCAGACTAAACACTACAATTTCTCAAATTAGGTCTCTATGACGCTATTTGTTTGAATCCGGACTTGGGAATACCAATTTTGGAAATGATTTGGTCACACTTTTGCGATTTTTACAACATTGATGAGGAGACGGCAGTTCCGTTGAAGTTTGAAAAAATCACTCTCACTAGAGATATCAGTGTTTCTTTACAAGTGAGTTTAAGTAATCTATTATTTAATTTATTTTTATTTCATGTCATTTTAGGAACCTTTGGGTAAACTAATATACACAATCGGGCTTATTGTCACAAAATTAAATAAAAACGACAATGAAAATCCCACTATAGCCAGATTTATTAACGTTTTGGAATCAATTTGCCAAAGAATGATAAATTGCGAATTGGTTCATTTTGAATTGGTAAGACTAAAAATATTCTTAAAATCATTTAATCATTAATTGTATAGAACGATGGTACCGATTTGGGGGATATAATGCCCGAATCTCAACACAAACTTTTCGTTTTGAAAGAAGCAATGAATGTTTATGAAGCCCTGATCGGTTACAAGTTTCACTCTTGGGAGTTAGACTCGGAAAATAACGGCAAACAAATTAGTGGTTTGTTTCAAGGCTACATGCGACTCTCACACTGTTTAAAAAATGTAAACAAACCAAAAAAATTAGACAAAAAGAATAAAACAACACAAAGTGCAAATAACACAACTATGAAAAAAGAGCATAAATCGTCAAGTAAATATTTAAAATTTCCAGAAACTGTGCTAGATTTTCAAGTAATGGCGAAAATTATAAGTTTTCTTCACGAGTGAGTCCTGTGAAATTAAAAATGTTTGTTTAAAATTTCTATTTAAGACCAATGGTTTCTTGGACTACAATCGTTCAAGCAAATGTCGTCAAATCAAAAAGGGAGTTTCACCAACACATAATGCAAGCAACTCTTAATTTAGTTTCATCAATAAAAAACAAAAAAATAATTGAAACACCGACTGCTAAAGTTGTTTATGAACATTTGTGCGATATTGCGATGGTTATTTATGAGAGAATAATCAAACGGATGGATGAATTTATAGATTTTGATTGTACGACAGCTTATTTAGCAGCCGATTGTTTTTTACTAATTTTGAATATTATCAACAATCACCACGGAAGCAATTTCAAAGCGTTTTTATGTCGAGTTGGTGGTAAAGACACAAGTGAAGACCTAACCAGTCATTTAAGAGAGTTTATTCAAACTTATCAAAAATTATTTGAAACGGACGAAGAACAACTTTCTGAGGATCCAGATGTTAAAAAAATGTCACTCATTATTATCAATACTTTGAGCTTTTTTGCAAACCAAATTCCAGTTACTAGTAACACTTTAGCGTTACAGATGATGGAGTGGACTAAAAATTACGCCGCAAGTAACGAAATAAAAAGCAAGCAAGTCACCAACATTTTTATTACTTTGTTATTCGAATGCCATATTAAATTCAAAGTTAGTTTAACGTTTTTTGAGCAAATATCTGTCCACATTGGTGATGTAACAGGTGTGATTAATGAGGTAAGCACAACTGAATTTCTTTACAACGTTTCATGTGAATCTCGCAGGAGGAACACACAACTGAAGAGTATAAAGTTTTAAATGAACAAACCGTAAATAACATTTTCACATGTTTGTGTAACAATATCAAGTCACTACTTGAAGATATCGACTGGGTTACTGCTCGTTTGAGAGCCGAATTTTCTATAATAAATTATCCTAGCGATGAAGGCTTGGAGAGGAGTAAGTTTTTTGTGTTTGAAAGCCAAATTTTTCTAATCTAAATTTTAGGGCGTGAAGAGTTACAGTCGCGCGAACGTGGAGTTTGCTGTCATTTATGTTTCATTGTCACAATTTTAACCAATTTAAGTAATTGTACCATCCCTCCCGGGGGGCTATCTGAGACTCTTTTAAAGAACTTATCGTTGTTATATTGCACGTTGAGTTCTCTAGCAAAATATTTTATATTACGATCGTCTAAAATCAACCCGGTTTTCCAAAACGCTAAGTAATGTAATAATACTTATAGATTTTTACATAATCATGAGTTGTTTTAGATTTGAACGATTAGTAAAATTGGCTGGTAAACAATTAGCCCCGGTTGTTTACAAGCTGATTATGTATATCGAAGAGAGTCAAAAACAAGAACCTGAATCGCCGAAAAAATCAAAGAAGAAAGTTGACTCGACGACGTTGAAAAGTAAAGTGTTGAAGGAGACACGGCTTATTCCTAAAGTAATTTATGAGATTGAACAATTTAGTAAATTTGTTATGCAACTGTCTAACAAGACTAAAATTGACTTGGCCAAGTTTATGGGTCAGGGGACTGTTCGAGATTTCAGGATTTTGCATTTGAAGGAGGTTTTGGAGCAGGCGAAAGATGGGGTACCACAAACACAAGAGAGTGATACTAGTGTGGTGGAGAATAATGAAGAGAGTGATGAGGAAACGTCACCGCCTCCTCCCAAACGTCGCAATCTTGAAAGTTAATCATTTATTATGTTTATCAATACAAAAATTGAATTATTACAAATAAAAATGAAACTTAAATAAGATGATGAACAACCCGTAAAGTCCTTTCCTTATCCATCAACAAAGATGTGAAATAACATTTCAAAACTTTGTATACTACATAACACCGAGGTATCAAGTCTTTCTCCTGATGATTGAGGTAAATAAAACCCTTCACGCCACAAAGTCCAACGGCCTATTAAATCCCCCTTTCCGGTTCATGTATTGCCTGTATTTTCTTTTCAAGATAACATGAACACCACCAACGTCATTCCCTTCAACTTTCTTCCCTTTCGTGGTATCAAAACTACAAAAACCCATCAACTTCATCATTTCTTGTTCATCGGCACTTTTACCCTCCAAGTCGGCGGCAGTGACAACCGGTCTTTCCGGCTGCAAAGGCTTCGATTTTTTCTCCACAGATCTTGATCTGGACCTCGTCAAAGACCGCGAAAACCTTCGTCGAGGTTCCCTCTCGTGCCGTCTTTCCCTATCCCTGGACCTCTCCTTCGACCTTTTCCGTCTGTGGCGCTCTCTCTCTCGCTCCCGGTCCCGTTCCCTATCCCTGTCCCTGTCCCGGTCCCTATCCCGACGTCTAGACCCGTAGGGGGATTTCGACCGACTACGACGTCCCATCACTCACCAAAAACTCAAAAAAAAACACAATTTTTTTCCACAAAAATTTTGACAACTGTCAAGATCGATACAGAAAAACGTCGATTTTAGTTATGATTTTTTACACGAAAGCGCTAGTGTTTCAAAATTCTGTCATTTGGATGCCATTTTGTTGCTTACTTCCTAGTGCTTAAGAGTCAATTTCGGGTGTAGCCCCCACGTTAGGCTTGATGCGTATGATGGGACGCGCCCGCGCATTGCTTTCGGAGTTGGAGTTCGGTGGAAACTGCAGAGGGTACGCGAAACGAATTTCTAATTTTTAGTGACCGACATTGTTATCGTGAGTGTTCTCAGTCGATATTTTTGAACTGAAGTTAGCGAAAAGAAGCTTCTTGAGGCTTTGCACGGGCCCCGGCGACCATTGAATCGATGGGGCGTATGCTCGCCTGGTGTCATTAGTGCAGAGAGAAACATTACGCACCGCGAGTAGACAGTGATTTAAATAACGCCGGTTTTCACTACTTTCGAGGAAACAACGGTAAGTGGATTCATTAGGACATAATGGCTAGGGGTGTGTCTCCACCTGTTCCGGGGAGGCGGCCTTCGGGCCCGGAAATCCATCTGATGTCACAGGGGCTAGCAATTGACCAAAGATGTAACACTAGAGTCGGGCTGGTGCCATTATCAAACCAGTATTATAAAGGATGATCTCATCCTCCAATGAAAGTTGTTTATTATAATAAACGGACAGTTCCCAACGAAATTGCATTTGGGAATTGTGAAATAATTTTCATTGTGCCTCTAATAACCGTCTATTCTTCAGATTCCTTCGGCATTAGTCACGCCGCTCGTGTTATATAAGATAATAATATGTAAATTGTGTGAAATTGGAGAAAGAGGTGCTTCTCTACACTTCGATTTGTTATCTTCGAGATTATTGCATTTTTCGATTATTCACAATCGTTTATTTGTTCTCATTTGATAAAAGACAAGAAAACTCCTCCTATCGATTCGGTTTTCGGGGAACTGAGGTGAACGATCGCCTCCAACAAAGAAAATAAATACTTAGGCTAAAAAATGGTTACTTGTATGTATGATTCCAATAAGATTTGCTCGAGCCATGGTTAAAATAACTCGTATTTCAATTGGGTTATTAATTGAAGCATTCCAGTTGACGTTAACAGCATAATAGATGATTTAATAAAGCAATAAGTCATCTGCACGGTATTCTTGGTTTCGAAATAGAATATGTTATCTGTTATTAGATGGTACCTGTTATCAGTACACACCTTTAATGATTGATAGTAATGTAGGTTTAGATAACTTTGTACTTTGAACAGTCTTCGAGTTTTACGGTAAATTAATTATTCAAACACGCGATGTCTTGGTCCAGACAACTTCTTGTATTTCTTGGTGTGATTGTGATTTAAACAGTCGTAAATGTGAACTTGGAGTCTATTCAGATGACTTCAGTGACTAATGTTGCAAGGCTTTCAGAAAGAAACTGATTCAGTTTATTTTTATCCCTCACTTTATTAAATATAAATATTGCATCTAATCGAAATTCTCATATTCCTCACAGAGTAAATAACGTAGTGTTTTATTTTCAATACAAAAAGCATTAAATGAATTTATTTTAAAAGAAAACAAGCACAGTGTATGTCACTTATAAAAATAACTATTTTTCCTGGAAATAGTCATTCTGTGCAGTCATCAGAAGTTGAAATTTTATTCAGGACAGTTTTTTTAAGATTACTAGTCACATGAAGTTGGTAACGTAACTGTTACTTTTAAAAAATTCCGTTAATTTTTGTGTCTGCTGTGTAATACTCTTACACCGATAATAATTAGGATATACATTAATGACCTGAATTACATCACCGCTTTATAATTTGAAGCAAATTGTGATTTGTTTGTTATATTTGGAACAAATTTACAATTAAATTCGTTGAATTATAGAGTAAATGTTCGTTGAACCTGAATAAAAATTAAATTAAACCTTGACACCTAGACAAATTTTCAGAGCATAAAAATTGTTAATCTGAATTGAGTTTTTTTTTTAACAACTGGTGTCTCATCTACCGGGTGTCCGGTCTCAAACACGAACATAGGGAAATAATGTTGAATGACATTTTTGAGTCGGTATTTTGCCAATTTATTTCTTTGATAATAACATAAACAGGTATCTAAGTAATCAAGAATTTAATTGGTTTTTATTAAAAACAACAAAAAGTTTCAAGTAATAAAGAAAATTAAATACGTTTTGACCTTACAAGGCCTTTCTGCATTGGAGTAATTATTCATTTTTACTGCACCGCATACTTATTTCACGTATTGATAAATTTGAAAATTGTATTTTAAAGTACAAGTACTATTTTTATGCTTATTTTTGGAATCATCTGACGCAAAATAATTTAATCTTTCGATAGGTTACTTTCGATACCTTACTTGTAGGTTGTATTAGTGAGCAGGAATCAGCAAAAATAAACAATAATACCATGTTAAATCTTTGTGTTCGCGATTATTGAGACCCGGACACCCGGTATACGTGATTTACCTATGTGAGAGACGTGTATGTTTGAGCATTATCATCATTTAATGAAACCCTTCTTCAAGAACGTCTGTTATTAAAGATGACCTGGATGGAGCCAACCCGGTTGACCCTTGCATTATCATAAGATAATGTCATTCAGTAATTCGAAAATAAAAACACAATTGAGATGAGGATTATGTCACGAGTTCATCCGTCTACGTCACTTACCTATCAATTATTCATGAGCGTTTCTATTTCACTCGGGTGGGTAAATTATATCGACTGAAAAATTTCTCTTGTGTAAAATCAAGGGCTCGCCAATGAAAAAATAACGGATAGTAATAATTTAACGAAGCTTTTTCATAAAAATTGATTAAAATTTATGATTAATAAAAAACGCATTCAAAACAACATTTTTGCGGGTTCTTATCAGTCTTTTAAATTTTATTGTCGTTGCGGTTAATGGTTGAATGTTGTTTTCTTGAAAAAATGTTGCGGAAGTCCGGAAACCGTTCCAACTGTTTAGTAATTCATTTACTATACGTGGAATAATAAAAAGTGTAAAAGCAGCTCGGGTTTTAATGTAATTTATTGGTTAATCTAGATATTTAATTTCTAAGTTTTTACATCTTTTTCATAATTTGAAAGTGCGAATTATTACTTCCTTTAAGTAAATGGTTACTTATAGGAATAAAAACCAACGTTTTGCTAACCTAATCTAGGATCTAGGTATAACTGTTGCATATGGTTGATTAATTTTATTCAATAAAAACGGTAAAATATGTATTTTTTGTTAACTCTACAGTTCATTATAGATTTTTAACTTATATAGGCTTGGTTTAGGCGTAAATTAATATTATGGTCTTTAGTCTTAAGCATCTTACTCATTGCAAGCATTTGACGAGAGATTTATGGTAATGGAAAGACAGGTTTTGCTAATTTAAATGTTTTATGTTAAGATTTTAACGACGAATACAAATATTTTCCATTTTCATTAGTAATAAAATGACAGACTTGTGAATTGCATTTTGTTGAAGACTGCACACCATATGCTTCTTTGTAACTTTTAAAGCACAAGTTAGTGGTGTAAGAAGTGGGAACTATCGAATTAGATTATAAGGAACAAAGTCGTACAATATATTAAAGTACTTTGTATTTTTGAGTTGTTATTTTTATAATTTACTTTTTCATTATGTTGAGACAATTCTGAGAAGGAAATTAAAAAAAATTAGGCAAACGATTTGGAGGCAGTATCTCGATAATCTCTTCGTTGTTCGTGATTCAGCACTATTTGTTTTACTCATAGTTGATGGTATAATTCGTTCCAACACAGAGGAGGGCACCTGTTCAATTATGCAATTGAACTCTCGAACGCTGGTTTAACACATTTCCCGTTGTTTGATGACACCAGTGACGTCAGCTATTTAAATAATTTATATTGTATCGGGGCGTTTGTAGTGGGATGTGTTAATTTTGGAACCAAAATTACAACTGTAACCTTGTAATTTTGGCCGTGGGCCAAATACTCTTCTCCCTCTTTCAGTTTTCCAGTTGCGCATCATTCTTCAGTTTCATTATTTTTGAATGCCTCTCCGAATTCAGAAATGGGGCAAATGTTCTAAAGATATTATATCACCCGAGTTGAAATGTCTTTGATGTGGGTGTTGGAATTGTTGGAGAGAATACAATATTCAAGTTTGTAATTAACCGCTAACGTAAATATTAACGGTACCGTAACAAGGAAGTGATTTTTTTTTGTCTGCTTATTTGCGTAGAAAGTGTATGACTATAATATACATTGTTTTGTGTGGGATTTGCGTGTAGAAACGAAATTTTGGCAATTTGGTTACTACTCGAAGTTATAGACAAAGTGAATTGTTATCTGCACGCGAGTTCGAACATTGAACTTTTGACGGACGTAGGGTGGATATAGGAAACGGATTTTCCATAAATAACTGGTGAAATAAAAGGGTACAACAGGAAAAAATTTGTACACATTCAACGTGTCTGTCGTCTGGCTTGGAGTTAACCACAAATTAAATATTTAGGTGGTCTAGTTGTGGAAAGCAAGTTTTTCAAGACATTATCATTTCTTTTGATTCAGCTAAATATAGACTAGATACAATATTTATCATTGGTGATAATTACAGAAATAATAATACTTTGAAATCACTCGTAACTGTTATTAACCCACTTGCTTTTAATGATATGGTATTATAAAACATTAAATAGACAGTGGTCACACAGTAATAAATTGCACTTGACTTATCGAGAAATTGAAAATGACATTGTGATATTGATGACCTTGATTTGGGGCGAAAAGTTGTAAGGATTAAGCTCTCTGATTTGGGAATCCTTAGAAGAATTTAGGTCATCCGCTTTCGATTTTGTTCCACCGTGTCTATAAAAATCTGAATTTTCTGTTTAATCTTAAAAGAAAAGTGAAATTGTAAGAATTGTATTGTTGAAAATAAATACCTACGCGTTTTAGTATTGATTTTACTGTGGTTTCGTGGAGTAAAGGGACTCATTTCGCGTCTTTTTATGGCAAGTTAGGCCGCAATCGATATTCTAGGATGGTTGTTCTACCATAACTTGGTATCAATTGGGGTCACTTAGCACGCATCACATTGGCGTGTTCTAAGTCAGGTTTTTTATTACCTACTTCTGGGTTGTAAATCTTGACGTTATAAAGCTTCTTATTGAATCGTAAAATTATTACGTTATTTCATTGTTACCACAAATAAACGCGGTGCGAGAAAAATTACTGAACAAATAATACACAATGCGAACCGTTCTATAAATAATCTCTTATGTCAGAATTGCAAATATTGCATTAAATCCTTCAGCTTTCTAATTTTTCGAGTTCGGTTTTCTTATCTTCAATGTTTTCGTGACTGTAACAGTGTTTGGCTTTAATAATCACAGTGAAGCCTCATATGGGCGATAGTAAATCGGTTTACGAGGATATAAAATACGTGATTGGTCGACGAATGTGATAAATGATGCCACCACACTTGAAAATTCCAGAATTACTGTCAAGTCTTGGATGGTAAACCAAGCTCATCATCATTACCCTTTCAACTTCCGGTACCCACCATTGACAATGTCTTGCGAATCGTCACCATAATGATGTTTTAATCGGTCGCAGAGGTTGGACATGATGACCATTCACAGGTTATTGATCCTGCAACATGCATGATGTCTGCGAAAATGGCAGTGGTTCTCTGTATCACTCGTCTAGTGGGATTTTATTTACGTTTTATTTTTGGGAAAGAATTACGTCAGCGACTTTTCATCAAACAAGATTTTTACGATCGCTTTCAACCAAGATAAAGCGTCGCGACGCCCTAGGTCGTTGACATTTACTTCTTGTGCCAACAAGAGATTGTCTTGTTGGTTTTTTGCTGCGATCGATTGTACGAGTGGGGGTGCTCGCTAGAACTGTTGAATATGTTTTTTTTTATAATACATATTTGAAAAAGATGGGACAGTTATAGTCCTTGTTTTTGAGTTAGTGCGTTATTCTCGCGACTGGTTGGATTTATAGCGTCGGCGACGATAACCTCAAGGTGGATTTAGCGATGTTAACACCTACTTGGTCACTGCTTCTATTTCTGTTCGTAATTGGAATTGCATGATCGTTCGACTCGAGGGTTTATCTTGTCGCGTTGATTTATTGCTTCCACTTTTACCCATCTATTTTTGGTTGTTGAAAAAATATATTCGTTGACTGCATCTTCATCAATATCAAATTCTAGAGATCGATGTAGCAGAGCCACTGGTTTTTCCTGGATTTTGGCGATTTGTAACCATTTGCCTCCAGACCGTCGTCCTGTTTCCAGGGCAACAGGACGGCGGCAGTGGATCGATCCACCGCAAACAAAACATCTGTTGAAATTTGCTAGACGCGTCGATTCTTGACCTTCTTTCACTTTCCTCATTCGAGAGGAGTTCTAAGAGAGATGCGTGAGAATGTCAAGGAAATGGCATAAAAGATCATAAAAGCGGTTACTTTGAACGTGTCATTGATGACCTATTTCTAGGTTTGTGGAAAGTAAAGTGGGACGGTAGACGGACACTTGTTAGCGTTAATGGAAGGCGAGTCGTGTGCTTAAAACTGAGGTAATCACTTGAGTACGACGAGGATAACCTTTAGGTTATATTGAACCAGACAGTTCTCTACATGCTCAATTTGAACTATTCAGTTATGTACTTATTTGGCTAGAATAAGTGAGTTTTGTGGCTTTGCCACATGTTGATAACAAGAAGTGAATCATTTTTTTTTATAGCTAAAAATTTATTTTGTAACTTCTTTATTGAATTTATCTTTCACAAAGAACACCACTGAATGATAAGAAAAATAAAAGTGCTGTGTTATTTATATTTGGAGGGTTTTATTTTTTTATTGATTAAAATAAACTAAATTATTTAAACGAGGTCCCAAAGGTTGACGAATTGCGTGTCTGCTCTGGTTTTTTCCGTAACTGGAAATACCACTCCTGTTTTAAAACCATCTCTCACCAATATCACACATTCGAGTCCAGAGAGTCGTCATTTATTATCATGTCATAGATGTTTTTATTGCATGTAATAACAAACTCATTACGATTTTATCGTTTTTACTTCTCCAAATGGATGTAATTTTCAGTTAAATGCAAAGCGAGTTTAAAAATTCGGTATTTAATCAAAGCGTGAATAACGTAATGACTGTTCGTTCTATTGTTTTTATTGACACTGCAATTCAGTGTTTAAATATAGATTTCGTACCATCTGTAGACACTTATTAATAAATATGAGTCATGAATATTTTACATATTTGTAAATCCGTGGGCGATTGCACTAACTGTTGTTTTTTCTTGTTTCAGATTTAAAATGACCGACAGCAGCGAGGCGGAGTTGCCGCCCCAGACCAACGGTCTTTCCGACAGCATGGACGATGAAGAACGCGCTAAAATCCGCCCCGTCGACATTGACGCCGACGTTAAGGAAATGGAGCGTCGCAAACGCGTCGAAATAATAATGAACAGTAAAATGTTCCGTGAAGAACTTGAACGAATCATTGAGACTCAACTAAGAGAAGGCTCCGGTACCACCGGCCTCATGCAACAAATCTCGGACATGATGGGAGTGAACAAACAAGCCGGAAACGTGTTCAAGAATTCGAACTGTGTTGTACCGATCAACGACATTCGCGGCATCGAAGCAATGGGTTATAGTAAAGGCGAGAAGATTCTGAGGTGTAAATTAGCGGCCGTTTTCCGATTGATTGATTTGTATGGATGGACCCAAGGCGCCAACACTTTGGTCACCGCGAGATTGAACCAGGACGAGGAGCACTTTTTGGTGAATCCATACGGGATGATGTTTCATGAAATCACCGCTTCCAGTTTGATTAAAGTTGCGATGCAAGGCAACGTTATCGAACAAGGCACCACGAACTTTTCCGTGAATATTTCGGCCTTTTCGTTGCATGCGGCCGTCCATGCCGCCCGCCCCGACATTAAATGCATCATCAACGTCCACACGCCGTCAGTAGTGGCCATTTCCGCCTTTAAACAGGGGATTTTGCCTCTGAGTCAAGAGTCGGTAGTCATAGGAGACGTTAGTACGCACACGTATCTTGGAGGTCTGCTTGATCCTGAGGAGAAAGATAAATTGGCGAGGAATTTGGGGCCGAATAATAAAGTTCTTTTGTTGTCGAATCAAGGGGCACTCTGCTGTGGAGAGACAATAGAAGAGGCGTTTTTCAACGCGCGAAATACCGTCCAAGCGTGTGAGTCCCAGCTCAAATTGATACCAGTCGGACTCGATAATTTGGTACTGTTGAATGATGAGATAAGGAAGAAGCTTTATGATGCGGCACATAAGCCGCCAGAGAGTAGTCCGAGACCGGATCAACCGTCAATTTTGGAAGGGAAAGTTGAAAGGAAATGGAGGGTTGGTGGTATTGAGTTTGAGGCATTGATGCGGATGTTGGATAATGCGGGATTCAGGACGGGATATATTTATAGACATCCCTTGGTCAAGGGAGAAGTACCGAAGCCGAAAAACGACGTCGAAGTACCCCCGGCAGTTTCTTCCCTTGGATATCTGTTGGAAGAAGAGGAGCTATACAGGCAAGGGTAAGAGTTTAACAAATACAGATTTACTTTTATTATCAATTATTCTATGTAAATATTTAATTGGCTGTTTCTTTCAGACTTTGGAAGAAGTTGGAAGGCGGAAGGAAAGGACACGACCGCAGCCGTTGGTTGAATTCCCCGAATGTTTATCAAAAAGTCGAAATATTAGAAACCGGCACACCTGATCCTAAAAAGATTACAAAGGTAGAATATATTAAATTTGAAGATAAGTAAAATTTTATTTCTCATTCCATTTGATATTCTAGCGTAAGTAGAATTTATTCCTTGTAGGTTGGTTATTAAATCAAGTGGTTCAAGTTTTTTTCTTCACTTTAAAATCAGATTTTGAGAATTTTTTAGTGTTTTCATAAACATTAAATTAAAAGTTGCACAACCTAATAAATTGTTTTAAAAATTCTTTTGTTATACGTTTTGAAAATTGAGGAAAAAAAAAAGTCGAACCACCTGGTATTAAAGAAATTATATTGACTTGATTTTAGTGCAATTTAAGTTTTATGTAGACTGCAAATCGTATATGTGCCATTTCGTGTTTTGCTACGCAAATATATATTTTTTGAATCGATTTTATTGCCGTTGATTTGAAATTGCGTCTAGTCGTAAAAGATCTGATGCCATAAGAGTGTGTGTAACTCTTGTTGTAATCATGTAATTCATGCTAATTTTATGCTTAGCTTATAACGCTCCTATAATAATAATAAACACGATGGAAGTAACATTTTTTTGTATTTTTTAATCCTTTTCCTTGCATTGCTCGCTAAATCACCTGTACTAATAAACGAGAAAGATGTGTTTGTGTGGCAAAACCAGTACATTAGATTTGGCACACATAACCAGGTTTTTGCTATATTTCTGTTTTGATTTTTTAACCGCATTACTAATGTGCTGGTTTTGTCTTTCAGTGGGTCGCGGAAGGATCACCAACTCATTCCAGTACACCTGTCAAAATCGATTCGGCCTTGCAGTTCGTCCCTAAAGGTACAAACCCGAAAGAATTCAAATTGAAACAACAACAGGTAAAAATCTTTTTCTAATCCAGAATTCGTTTATATCATTTTTGCCCTAGATCAAGGATTACCGAAGAGCCGATAAGATATCAGCCGGTCCCCAGTCGCACATTTTGGAAGGAGTGACATGGGAGGAAGCTCGAAAAATGCAAGATGCTACTGTCACCCAAACAGGAGATCAAGTCGTCTTAATGGGGGCCGCCTCCAAGGGAATTATTCAACGCGGACATCAACACAACGCAATGGTGTATAAATCCCCATACGCCAAAAACCCGTTCGATTCGGTCACAGACGAGGAATTAGACGAGTATAAGAAAGTCGTCGAGAAAAAAGTCAAAGGCGAATGTGAGTATTGTTTACTACTTGCTATATAAGGAACACCACATTATAATCAATCTGACTAGACCTCACAAGAACAATTTCTGCACAAACCGCTTTAGTACTATTTATAAATAATTTGCACGAGTTATGAGTTATAAAAGTACCGTTCACTCGATTACAAACAACAACGTTTTATTGTTATATGTTACGAGTGAAATAATTGTACTTTTTGTTTCAGATGATACAGATTTTAGCGAGTCTGAAGGTTTATCTTCAGCTCAAATAAACAAAAGAATGAGTGATCACTTCAGGTCACCGACTTCTGTTACTAGCGAAACAGAAGAGGAGAGTAGAGATGGTTAGTTAGTACTACTAAAAACAAAAACTGTTTAAACAAGTTCATTTTACAGAACCCCAAGTACTTCGGATAGAAACCAAACAAGCCCCCAAACCTAGCCAACCCGAAGTCGTTTTGAGTGATGGTGAGTTCCGAATGATTTTTATACATTTCGGGTAATTTGTAGTTACGTGTAAACAGCGTGCTTTATTTATATCTTGTTACAAGTTTGTAAAAGACGAAAGTGATGGACGAGGGGTGAGTGTTCATCACTGGAACAGTTTCATTCTCATTTTAGAGAACAGATGAAATAGAGGAACAGACACTCAATTATTTATTTTAACACATAGTTATCATCGTCCATCAGTGTCTTTTTTAGTCAAGTAGTTACGAGCGCTAGAACCTTCTTTTGTAGTTTGGTTTTTGCATGATAATTCCTTGTATTTTGCATGATTAGTTGAAACCTCACCAACCGAACGCTTCCTAAGAGCTGAGCGAGTTTCAGTGAACAGCAATCAAAGTAAGTCTTAACGTAGTCGCTTTGCAATGCTTGGCTTTTCCCGTTTCATCATTACAGAATTCGATTTTGAGTTATTTTAAACGTTTTAAACACGCTTCTTATCCACATAATCGCTTTCTTCCAGGTGTTAAAACCAGAAAACATCCACGAAACGTGCATTTTACCACAAGCTTGCCCTACTATCGCACCAACAATTTCGCTGGGTTACCCAAAGGCTCATATTCCATTCCTAATCCTCAGCATTTTCATATTGTCCGGCAAAATAACATCGCAAAACCTTTACGACCCCTTCTTGTAAGAGTTGCCCCTCAAACGCGTGCCACTCATTATGTTTTTAACCGGTTTAATGTCAGTTGTGATCGAAATACTCAAACTGTTACAATTAATATTGGGAATTATCGGGCAGTCTCCCTCGCCATGTCATTGCAAACTGTTGATGATTTTATAAGACCGTTTGCTAACGCTTTGAATATTTTGAATTCGACGGATTCTGTAACAAGAGAGGCTCAAACGTCGTATATGGTTCAGGAAAATCACTCAAATTTCGAATATACTCCACTGATGAAAGACGATTCGAGCTTCGAAAAACAGATCTTGCAAAAGTTGCACGACAATCTCATCACTGATTTGACCAAAAGCGATTCGGATTCATTTGATTCTGAATCGGTGAAACTCGACTCAAGTGCAAGCGAATCAGAATCAGAATTATCGGAAATTGTTGATTTTACTGAGGCCGATTCGGTGAAGGTTAATGAAAATTTGGCCGATATTCCGGATGATCTTCAAAACAATTCGCAAGTTTCTTCGAATCTTGATGAAGGTCTAGGTGATTCGGCGAAATTGTCACCACCAACCCAAAAACTACCGCCTGATGACAAAGTTGTAAAACTCGGACAGATGATTTTTGAGTATATGGCCGAGCAAGGGTTTGAGGATTCGGATCTTGTGATCTTCCCCGAGTTGAATAATGATGTTAACACCAGTAAATTAATAACGAAATTGGTTGAAACCTACCGAGAGTTGTACGGTGATAATTTGACAAATGAAGAACGCAGCGATTTACGTATTGTAATTTCTTCCTATGTTTTACATTTGGTCGAGAGAGATGACAAAATGGTTTCGTCTACCGATTCGCTCGAATTTCCAATGGTTTCAGACAAAATTTTCAGTATTTCGGAAACACTCTCAGCTATTATGGACCAATTTTTTGATTTACTTGATGATAAAGGCGAAGAGTTTGAAGTTTTTAACGAACCCATGAAAAATTTCAACGACAATCTTCACCACTCGACACCTGAACCAATCAAAAGCCAGTATGAAGTGTTTGAAGAAGTGACTGCTTTCAAACAAGACAAGTTACATAAGCCTGGGTGCGAGTCTTACTGGTTTTCTATTGGTTCTCCCAGGGAACAAAAATTAGTACTCAAACCAACTCCTCAGAAAATTATCAATGTTGATGATATTCCGTTACCTCTACCTAAAAATCTTGATTTTAACGGATCTAAATCTTTGTCACCGATTCCAGAGGAAGTTAGCCGAAATTTGATTAATGATTTTTTGGATGAAAATGAAAATATTGATATTTTAGCCGGTGGTGATACCGGTCACGTTGATTCGGTTTTATCAGGAGTTAACACAGATTCGTATGTTGCTTTTGATCATCCGGAAAGTAACGTTGTTGTGTGTTCGAATGTGTCGTTTCATCGTACTATAACAACCGTGAGTTCGGCTTACGTCAAGGCTGAAAATGTTAGTTTTAAGAAAAATAATTCATTCAATGGGGATGAGAGTTTTTATAGCGTCAATAGTCAAAATGATGATGAGGGAGATTGGATGGGTTTTGAAAATGCCAAGTTTTAATGTTTTTGCTTTTTTATATTGTATGTTTTGTATGCAAATATATGTTTGTACGTTTTTGCCTAAGCAATAGAATTTTGATGTTTATTTTTTAATTACATTGCATGTTTGATTGAATAAATAATAAAACACAAAAGCAGCACGCTTTAACCTCACTAATCACCTTACATAACAAGAAATAACGAAACACTAATTGGGTGGAAGTTGAAATTCTCAAGGTATTTATGTTGTTTTTGTTTGTAACTTTCAAGTTTTTACGCAGTGGTTTAGATTTGATTTTTTTAGGTGAGAATACGGTGAATGGAGACCAATCAGATGCTCACATTAGTACCTTGTCTCAGAGTAGCAAAGAGGTAACTTTTGATTGCTTTTTATCTAAATTTGGCTAATTTGTATTGGTTTAGGACCGCTCTATTTCTGAAGGGTCTCCCAAAAAGGACAAGAAGAAAAAGAAGGGACTGCGAACACCTTCTTTCCTTAAAAAGAAGAAAGAAAAGAAGATTCGTGATGCATAAGGTTTGTTGAGAATTAAAATGAGTCGAGTTATTGTTATTTTTGTTGCAGGCACTGCCGCCGTAATTTTTTATAATGATGCCTCCATCGAGACTGCCAGCGACTCATTTTTTTAGTTTAGTACATTCGAGCGCAGCGGCTAGAATTTTGCACTAAATGTGACAATGGACTTTGGTCTAATTCTATTTTTAGCTTTATCTGTACAGGATATAAAGATTTTATTATAATTATAATTAACTTCAAAAGTGCGAAATGTAGGTGGAGTTGTTAAATAGAATAAACAAAACAGTTTTTCGACGTTTCCTTGAAATTTTTTTGACTGACATCACGCATTGGTTTGTTTATTCTTAAACGTTTATTTATGTAAAAATTTATAATTGCTCGATTGACTGCAAATAAATAAGTTTATATTGAGATTATAAAATTAAATAGGCCATCATCACTTCTTATTTTGTTTCGTAATAACGGGAGAGGGAGCACATATTTCTACTTTATTATACATACTACATACTTGCACAAAGTACTCTTTTTATGTATGTTTTCTTAATATTTAAGAAATAAAAAGCTTTTCTCGCTATTTAGTTCTGTAGTTTTTTTTGTAAATATCTTTCTTTTAGGAGAGTAATATCGTGTGATAAATGTTCCCTTTTTATACTTTACTAAAATGTTAACAGATTTATTTGGGATATTTTCGTTGTGCTCTGGGTAGTGGCTTTTTACGATGCTTTGTGGCAATTGCGCTTTAAACATTAATAATATAAAAAAATAATTATTTTTATTCACGAAAATATAATAAATCGTAATGTTTATATTTTTTATTTAAAATGTAAAAAAAACAGTTTATTGTGCCGTAGTTTGTTTGATCTCATGGTGTTTCTTTTTTTTAATGGACTTACACAATTGTTATTGTTTATTTAGTTTACATGAATCTCACTTTTTCTTTTGTGAAATGGTGAGATATCGTCTGAAATACCTGTAAAACCTTAACATTCTTGCGTATTAAGAATGCAATAGGGAGTAACTGATTGTAAAAGCATTGAATTGTCTGTCATGTTATTACTTTTATCACATGCAAATAAATTATGTTACGGACATTTCTTTTTTATTTGATTCGCAAGTAGTCCCAGAAAACTCTAGAAATTTCTGATTAATTATCGATTTGCCCGCATTGAGGAAAACGAGATATTTGACAATTTAATTTGCGCGAGTCCTTCTGGCAAATTGCTGTGGATAAAATTCCCGTCGGTGTTGAATAGGATTCGCGTTCCAAGCAATGAAGGGCCACTTGAGAGTCAGGTGGTTGTGTCTGCTCTCTTGATGTTCTAAAATGCGCCAATTTGAACCGCAATCGTTCCGGCTTTTTAAAGTAGGCGGAAGTGCTGAAAAATTGACTTGGAGTTTTTTCAGCTGGAAATTTCGGACTTGAGATCGAACATTGTCTTGGTATTTAATGAGAATTGCGTGAATTTTGATTGATTTATGTGTGCTGCAGGCGTGACGGCTGCCTAATTATCCTTACCATGAAATTCCATTATTTACATCATTTATTATGGGTTTGATTCGGCGACAATTTCGTTAAAAACCCGATATTAATCTTGTGGCGCCACTAACATGGATATTCTCGAAATTACAAACAAATATTTTTGCCAAATTACACTGGAGGGAGTTATTTTTGTGATAACGTAGTTTTGCGTGTCAAAAACACGCGGATTACTACCATCTTAACAAACTGTCAGTAAGAAAACTAAGTTTAAATATGATTTTTTTACTTGTGAACTATATTTTATTCAAAATAATTACAAATACAGGGTGTTTCGGCTATAAGGCCCACATTAGAAGTAGTGTGAGTTGTGATAATTGTACATATTTATCTACAAAATTGCATGTTTTCATTGATATTTGTTATTTTAAATAGAAAGCTATATTATTTATTGGATTTTTGGATTTCTCGAGTTATTAGTTACTGATGCAGAATTAAATTCTCCTTCATTTAGTGAAGAAAAAAATGAGACTATATTTGGAAAAATTGAATTATGTAGATTTGAAGTTTCCCAAAAGTAACCTATTAAGTTTTGGAGGTTTCTTAATTTAATTCAATTATAAATACATCTACTCTTTCCCTTTCATATGCCCACGTACGATTTCGAAATAATTAAAAATGTTAGAGTTATCGATCTTTGAAGAGGAACCACACCGATTATGATTGTCGATTATATGCATGTTTGTAGATAAACAGATATTATTGTCAGAACTTAAATACTTACCCGTACTTCTAATGTCAGGTTTAGCCGGAACATAAGTTAAGCTAAATTTGCAAAAAAATTTAACATACGACTTTTTTTAACATTACCGGACAAAATAAGTCTTATTCTAAATTTATTTAATATGTAGACGTGAAATAGAAACTATGATAATCAGAATTTGGAAAGTACCGTTTTGTTTAGAAAAAAAATTTAGGAATCTTTTGAGGTTTTTCAAGTAGTAAGAATAGCCAAAAATACATTGCCAGATATTGAAGACATTCTTACAACTGTTTTTGTCAAAATTTTTAAAAATTGCGAAAAAATTAATTAGGAAACACGGTGTTGGATTTTTTTTTTGGAGATTTCATAACTAACAAAAAAATTATAATTTCGTAGCAAAAAACACAAAATACAGAAAAAAAGTTGGACTAGTTTTACTTATCTTTTTTTGTTTTACCAATAGAGAAAATATGAAAACTAATTTTTGATTGTAATAAAAAAATTGCCTCATGCGTGTTTTAAACTCGCCCCAATATTTTGTAAAATCTCAATAGTTTTAAATTTAAATTGCAAGACTTTTAACAAATGTAAACAGGATTTATGCCATTTTTCAATAGGTTCTTCAGTGGTTCCTCACATTTTTTCAAGAATTTCCCGAACTCATTGTTTTTTAATATTTTGTTTTTTGTTTTGGTACTATGTATTTTTTACGATTCCGTTGCAAAAACTCGAAAAAAACACATTTAGAACTGTGATTTTTTTAAAAAATAGTACGTACTTTTCAAATAAATTAATTAAGTTATTGATGCTTAAAAAACTTGATTTTTTACATACAGTGTTGTGTCCCCGGATAGGTAAAATGACTTGTAAAAGATTAAAAAAATTTGATTTCAATTTTCTTTTTTTTTGGGTTCAGCCCTGCTTGGTTAAAGATTAATTTCTAACATAATTTTAGTTTTGAAAAATCAAGTAGGTATGCTTTATAAATTAAAAAAAAAAAACTATTTGTCTGTAAAGTACCTTTTATGTAGCAAATACGACAAGAAGTTATTAATAAAAGTTGTTTAGAATCAACTTTTAGGCCCCTACACCAAATTGCAAAATTATCGGCCAATTATGATATTCCATTTTTTCTCCCAAGATAATTGCTTGTTATTAACAGAAACGTCAAAAATGTATTTAGTACTGATATTCTAAATGTATTTTTTTATTCGTAATAAAAGAACTGTTAAAAATAAAATTCTTTAATTTGTGAATTAATAAACATGAAAAATACGGGCCTAGATGTTGATTCTGAACAACTTTTCTTAATAATTTTTTGTCGTTGCTGCTACACAAAGGCACTTTACTCTACAAAAATAGGTTTTTGAAAATTTTTAAAACACTTGATAACAGTAATACAAATCACAACACATTAAAATTCTGAAATTCATTAGTGTTGTAAATACAATTTTAAATCAAAAGTGATTTCTGTTTCAAATTTTAACTTGAATAAATTTGGCGTACTTCGAAGTTTCTTTAATAACCTAATTTATAACATACATAATGAGGATCAACTCAAGAGGCAAGATGGACAAAAACTGAATACATTAATGGCTCTAATTTTATTGTTATTAATACAGTGCGATCAAAAAGTCTTTCTACCAAGTAGGCGTCCTAGTTGAGGACGTATGTTGCATGGCAGTTCGTATGTTATCTAGATTGCAAAAATTATTTTATAAAAATTAAAACATTGAGCTAATTAAATTGAACTATTCTATGAAACGTCTCAAAACAAACTAAAATAAGATTTTGTTGGGGTTTATTCATAAAAATCGTTCACCACGGTTTCCTGTCATAATTTATATAAAAAATATTTTGACATTTCTTATTTGTCATTGTGACATTTTAGCTTCCACAGACATACCTTTGCTTGATAGACAGACTTTTTGATTGCACTGTATTATTACCTCGACAATTCACGGCTATTGTTGGTGGGTCAAATCACGGTATAATTTTTTGCAAAAAGCCTTTGGAAAACTAGCAATAAGAGAATAAAAAAACTCAATACTTTTCTTTACTGAACTTATTAAAAGTACATCATTTCGGAAATTAATTAATCCTCTAGTTGTACGAAAGTGAGTTTGCAGGTGTTAACATCGCTGATTTGCCTAATAACTGCGACAACATAATTTCCCAAATCTGAAAATTAATGAATGGGCACGTTACTCTGCCAAAAAACGCCGTCAAATTGCCCGTTATCATTTTTTTAATATTTGCAAGTTTTTTAATTTCGCCTGCATATTTGGTTATCCGGGTCACGCCATCGAATTACTTTATTACTCGAATACTTTCGCGTATTCATGGAGTCGAAGACGAGCTTCACATGGGCATTCCGCCTTCTCCATCGAGATGATGAGTCTTTATTGAATTCAGACGCCTCGTGTCTAGGAATTCCACAAATAGCGGGGATCGCTATAAGCACTTAACGACTGCAAATGACTTTCTTGACAGCTACCTTGAAATCCCCCAATAATTAAACT